AGGAATCTGAGAAGTCTCATAAATTTTGGCGCCAAGCTTCGGTCCGGTCGGTAGGCGCCGTTATCGGGCGCCCACGCTTCGTTTCGGACGTTTAGAGCGTAGGCATCCACAACGAAAGTCGTCCCGGCCGGGATGATGTATCCATCAACGACTCTTGCTGTGGGTGCGGGTTGAGGGACACTGAATGCGGCCAACGGCCTCAAGCGGCTTGACTCTAGCACGCAAGCCGCTAGATATGAAGAGCGATTGAGAATGTAGTCATTCAACTCGCCTTTCGTTTCGGCCTCCGCGACCTCGCTCCGCAGACGAGATTGGACCTCTGGATGTGCAGCGAGGAAGACCAGATTCCAAGAGAGCCCGCCAGTCGTCGCATCCAGATTTGCCCAGAGCGACTCGTCCAGTGTCTGCATCAACTGCTCTTCGCTGATCTCTCCAACAGCGACAGCTGACTGCATACTTACAATTGGAGCGCATGGGTCGTTCGTCTGGGCATGCGCCAGCGCGCTGTCGTTGAACGCCTTCCATGCCTGCTTGAACTTCTGCAGGTCGGCATTCGCAGCAGTAGGCAGAAAGCGTGCCCAGGAAAACCGAGAAAGGCCTCCTTTGATAACGTATTTGAAAATATGCTCACGCAACGGAGCGAGCTCGGCCAACTGGTTGGTCAAGTACGTTGGCAGACGTCCGTAAAAGATCTCCGCGACGACCCAGAACGGTAGCATCTTCATGTCATCTGCCGGGTGTATCAGGCCTTGCTCCAGATTGCCACGAATTTACAATCATGTTTGACATACATGACGTTCCCAATCAGCGACTTTCAAAGAGATAGCTTGATGTCCAAATGGCGCTTCTGCCACCGCCCTTACCGCACGCCAGTCACGCCCGCTGATCAGACCAAGGCACTGTCCCAAAAGCTGGCTCATGTAGAATCCGGAGTTATTCGCTGGTGCCTTGGAATGCTTGTCCGAATCTTTCATTACAGCTTGCACCTGATATGGTTGGGTTAGGACGCTGGTGACGCTTCAGAAACAATGACATCGAAATGAGTATGCTTGAAACCCAGATTTCTGAGTTCATTCCCGACCAAATACGATAGACAACTCCATTCTGCTTCTCCCAAGCTGCTGAGTTCTCAATCCCATCCAGGAACTTAGCGATATTTCCCTGGCCATTAGGCCAAATGAAGGGGCATGATGGGATCTTTCCTCGCCCATCCTTGTGGAGAATTGGATGTTTCCATTCAAGGTATGTCTGGTCCCTATTGTCAGCAAGGCCCATCAGTAAATTCCGAAGCTTCGGCATACGTTTATGACGCTCGATACTTGGTCTTCGATCGACGCTGGCAGGAGCCCTGGCCAGAAGAGTTCTACCAGACCAATAGCGACTGATAGAACGCACAGAATCACGACAGTGCATCATAGCAGGCGCGTAACTGATCCTTGGAACATTGTCGCTGCTCTAAGCAGACAAAAAATCACCTCAATTAGGGACGGTCACAATTCCACACCAGATCTCGCACTATGGCGGAAATATGAGGTCAGTCAATTTGGGTCTAGGGCACCGATGTTACCGAAGAACAATCTCGGCCACCGTGGGCGAAGTGGAGGCTGAATGAGCACTTACATGCTCTCTGGTCATACTACGGGGCTTGGAATTGTCTCTCAGCCTTGCATCACAGGTTGTCTGCCATTACACAACCTCTTAGCAAATCAATTAATAGGTAGAAGGATGGACACAGGGAAGGCTTCTATTGAAGTAGGTTAGATTGATTGCGCTGAGCTACTGGGAATAAGCGTCAACTAAATAGATATTGGGCGCACTTAGATAGCCGTCTGCCCTTGCCTAAATGCCGAACCAGTTACTTATTTCTGATATAATAGAGTGATGATAGCTACATAGAGCTCTGGCCCTTAATTTGCATTCTGCCATACCGCTCTATGATGTCACCTCTGGGCGATGAGTGATCTTTTTCTACAGAGACTACGGGTCTGGCGTTCAAGAGTATTTGGACATCAGTAGATCTCCGCAATCAACTGTGTACTAACACCTGTCCCACCCAATGCTCCCGTTGCCATGGCTTGCACCACGGCTTTTGTTGGACATGCACAATCGCCAACCGCAAAGACACCAGGTACACTTGTAGCATATAATGGTTCAGCAACCTTGATGTTCCCCTGGTCAGTCAGATCTAGATCCAGCTGGTATGCAAATGGTCCATTGATCTCCGTCCTGGATTCGTGTGCCTATGGCCTTATGTCAGCTGTCTGCTGCACTTCTGAGTTGACAAGTCCAACCAGAAAGGCCTCAGTCTTCGTTGTCAAATCATCAAAGCGTATGATGATTGCGTGTCCAACAGTGCTCTTTTCTAAATGTGTGATCGATCGTGCGTCAACTTTGATCTGAGAATTGCCCATGTCTTCTCGAAGCTGTTCGCTTAGGCTTTCATTACTGTCCGTGTAGAATGTTACGCTGTCCGCGAGCCGTCTCGCCATACCTGCGATCTCTGCGGAGCGAGATGGCGTGGCCATACCGCCGCTGACAAGAACACCAGCAGATTGGGCCCTGCCCTTTTGGCTGCCATACCAGAAGAGGTCAGGACATCTGGTTGGCAGCAGAGTTTAGCAAGACACGAGCACGAGCTCCTTGGAGAATCTAAACTCACATGCCAACCGCCCAACACTCCTGGTAGCTAGGAATGTCCGGAAACACGTCTTTCACACCCGTCGCAAGCAGAAGCTTCCTTCCGTACCACCTTGCTCCTGTCTCTGCCGTTGCCTCAAAATGTCCATTCTTGGCTTGTTTGACATGCGTAATCGTGGTATCTTCGATGCGGACTGTTGAGTATTGATCCAGCACACCGCGACGTGCGGTATCGCGAAACTCCTCTGGGGCACGATTGTCCCACGTTGCAACATTGCCCATATGAGTTATGGTATCATCTCTGTAGGAGCCAGAGTCGAATACAATAATGTGGTAAAGCTGACGTGCGAGTGTGGTTGCAGCGGATAGCCCTGCAGGACCACCGCCGATTATAAGACAGTCAAACAGAGGTTTGGCAGTGTTATCGCCATTTGCGATGCGGCCATGCATGATGATGATGATGCTGTATGTTGATGATTTCTGAGTCACGGACAAGGAACATGTGCCAAGACAGATCTCAACTTGCCCCTATCTTTTTGAAGCTCGTCGACTCGGAGTGAAGCACCCGAGCCTGTTCGTGGTCGAGACCGACATCCGTACGTAAGTGGGAACGAATCCTCTTTCTCTCGAGCGCAAGTTTAAAATTTCGGGTTTCGCGCCCAGAAAGTCCACTGTCTGATAGCAGATTGTTGATCGTAACCTTGGTCCACAGTGGAGGATCATCCTGGACGGGGTCCTGGAAGGCTACGCGCACCGTATGTTCGGCCCGCACGCAAACTTGCGTATCGCCAGCTTCCCAATTGGCCAGCTCCATACGACAAATTCCCGACGCAGGCTTTCATGGCCGTTTGGATTACACCTGCAGAAAAGACGCAATCTCCTTCGACAACCCCTACTTCTTTCCACAACACATTCGCTTGCAGCAAACTACAGCCTTCTCAAAATGGAAAACACTTCCTACTCTGGCCCCTTGAGCTCGCCGCCACCAAAGGCATTCAAAGTGCCCGAGTCACTCGTTACCTGGGATGCTCGCGCACCTCTCCTCATGGGTGCGCAAACGGTCGTGGCGGCTACCTTGATCTGTTCGACACCAAAATCTTCCCTTCTCCGACCTGCCTGCCTCCCAATCCTCATCGGTCTCATGTATCTTGCTTGGCAAGTCGCCCCAGCATTTACAGGCCAAGGTGTTCTCTATTCGTTTTGGTGGGTAGGGCCGTATGCCAACATCTTTCATTGCATGAACAACCTTTACCTGCACCCTCTGGATGATAACGACATCCGCCATGAAATGAAGGTACGGGAGAGCTCCTCTGCCAATCCCGGATTCTTGAACGAGTCTTCTTCACCACTTCGATACTTTGGAGTTTCCGAGGAATTGGAACGAAGTACCAGATCAGCAACGTCCCTCCGTTCCCAGGGGGCGTCGTACCGCCTAGAGCGAGATTTCTGCTGCATCAATGCATTCTCATCGCGCTTCAATACCTCATTATGGATCTGTTGGCAAGCTCGCCACCACCGCCTGATGTGGTGGACGGTTGGGCACGGGGCAAGGAGTGGCTATGGATTAGCGCTCTAAACCCGCACCCAGTGACATTCGATGACCTGAAAAATCGATTCATTGAATGTACCATGAATTGGTACATCGTCGGACGTGTCATGAATGACATATGGTACCGCATTTTTGCCGTGATTTTCGTTGGCCTGGGTCTCTCAGAGCCTAAGCAGTGGCCACCACTTTATGGAGACTACAAGGACACTTACACACTGCGTGGGTATTTCGGGTGGGTATCTTGTATACATGCATTGTCAGCATTCACCGTCGCTAACCGGTCCATGCAGCAAGTTCTGGCATCAAACGCTCCGCTGGCCCTTCCAAGGTGTATCCTCATACGTGACTCGGCAAATTTTGGGGCTACGTCGAGGTGCTGTGGAACGCTATGCCAACATCTTCATCGTCTTCTTTCTTTCCGGGACTCTTCACTCCATTCTCGATGTTGCATTCGGCGGGCATTGGCGGCCGGTCGGCGGCCTTCTCTGCTTCCCAGTGCTCCCACTCGGCATCATGTTCGAGGACGCAGTTCAGTGGCTGTGGTATGGTCTGATTGTGGAGAACGCCGAAGCGAAGCGAGCGAGCTGGTTCGGAAGGATCATTGGCCATGTGTGGGTCGTTTTGTTTTTGGCGATCGTTACACCCATCTTCAATTATCCACTGCAGCGAATCGACGGCAACCCGACCTACTTGGTGCCGTGGAGTATAATACACACGCTTGTTTGAGAATATGTTTAGTCCGAGTAGATTACTGCTTACCTGGTGGAGTATTTGGTGAAAAGTCCAAGCAGTTGGTTGCATTCGGCTAGTTACTTGATGCTGTCTCATTGAGGTATTTCCATGGTATGCATTATCGAAAATGCACAAGTACTGGGAGGCGATCATAACGTTCCACATGCATCATTAGGGTCGCCAAATGGGCCATCAAGCGATAGACAGGTATTCAAGGAGCTCAACGAATGCTTGCGCTCTTAGCGACCACCACTCAAGCCATCAAGCAGGTCCGAAACGAGTTTAAGACAACCCATGCGCGTGATTCTGTGGGACCAAGTCTATTCAGAATTATGGCGGTCGTCTAGACGAAGCTTTGCAGGTATCAGCTGCAGCCAACGAGGATCAACTAGAACGGTACATCAGACGATACGAAAGGCGATTTGGAGTCAGCGCAAGGTTGACCAGAACACTTTCCAAGGAACCCCTCTTCCGAAACCATCTGGCTGAGCTGGTCCGCAATGTCAGGATCCTCGAGGCGAGTTCTCTCCTTGGATTTATGCACGAGGGGGAATGTGACGCGAAGGAAACGCAGAATAGAGCGACTGAAGTGGGGACACATTATTTCTGAACCCTCTTGCAAAGAAGTCGGCAAACAAATATCAGGCGCTTCTAGTGTTGATCGGCTCTCTCCACAGCCTGGATTTTGACCATTCGGTGGATCACTACTACGGCATAGAATCTGCCCGGTGAGAGGAGACACTGGCGGCCCGCGCTCACCTTGGTGCCTTCCCTTACTATGTTCAGCTGTCCAGGGATTCGCCTATATCCGATGCTTTGAATTGCGAACGTCTTGCCAAATTCGCATGAAATTTGGTGTTCAGATTTGGCACAAGGCATCTTGTCGTGGGGGAGCTTGATGCCTGGGGAATCATTCATGAGGCCCAACAGCAGGAATGCTACCTTTGGATCAAGGAAAACAGAGGGCTGGACCCGTGGTTCTCTCGCCTTTGGGAAATTGCTGATCTTCGCAAGCCCAGAAGACATCTAAAGTCCCTCCACGCCAACTTCTCAAAGAGGGAGCGGATAAAGCTCGGGTATGAACTTGCTGAGAGCGCACTTATTTTTCTGCTAACCAAATGGTGCCCCAGCCCTGTAGCTGCGCAGTAAATTGCGTGTGCGTCGATGTGCGAACTGAAGAGTACGAATTATATTTCAGGTTTAACAATATCTGCCACCTCAAGCCAGCATCTGGAGAGACCCGGCCCACGAAACATTGGTGCGAAGAAGAGCTTTTCAACATGCACATTCTGCGGTTGGAAGTCTTGTTAGTGAAAACTGCTCGTGGATATCCGTCACTGAGGTTGCGTACAACCACAAGACCAAAAAAAAATAGAGCTGGATCTTTCATTCGACTCTCTCTCGAGCGGTCGATCCTAGTCATAGCCTGGCTGCGGGCGCGACACCTATACAAAGTCCGCTCCCTCTAAACCAGGTGGCTAGTATTGTGCACAACGTGCATAGGAGTAGGTATGTATTGAATTAAAGCAACTTACTCGTTCGATGACTCTATCGAGTGCTAGCTCTAATTATATACTTGAGAAAGACTTACCTATATCCTTGTCCAGCTGGATATAATGCTAGTGTCAGGTCAGGTGTTTTGAGCCAGCTGAAAATATACAGCCAGTTATACGAACCAACAAATAGCAACTGGAACGCGGTCTATTCACAACGAAAGGGGACTCCCTAGGGAGGCGTACACCAGTGGCTGGCACGGAGGTACCAACGATTTCCTGGAGAAACGGATTCCCGAAGGAGTGTATGCTGCTGACCGGGGGCCACTGGGTCCCTGAGAGATGAATTCCCTGGGAGATGCACGCCACTGAGCAGCAGAAAAGTACCAACAGTTCCCCAGAAAAATCGATTCCCTAGAGAGTGTACGCTACTGAGCGGTACAAAGGTACTAACATTTCCCCAAGGAAACCGATTCCCTAAACATTGTACGCTACTGAGCAGCACAAGAACATAAATATGGAAGGATGTCATATGATAAAACGCCAACTAGGCTTGAGAGCATGCCTTGACTTCTATCAAACGAGCGTCGAAGACGTACACATCTATATAAAAGAGAGTGACAGGGGCGTTTTTCCTAGAGGCCGTAACTGGAAGTAGGGGAGAAAAAAACTTATGTCCGACTACAGAGGTAAGAATGCGCTGGACAGAGAAATCGACGATCTCTTAGTACCACTATACTCACACCCGACTCTTGACCTCTCTAACTCCCATTTCCACTCTGGGACGTGAGCACACGTGGACAATGCTAAAGTCTTGCCTTTGCAGGATGCCGGGGCACGTTGTAACGATGGAATCTACAAGATAGGAACAACGTGCGAGAAAAGTGTTGCGGATGCAGACAAAGGGGATGATGACTTCGATTTCACGCCCCTTAAGAGGATTTAGGACTAAAAAGTATATCTTATAGATGATGACAGACCGAATTAGGCGATAAGAAGAGCAGAGAAATGAGAGAGCGAGAACGCAGATTTTTCTAGAACCGTGAGTGGGCTGTCTTTACTCGTGAGTATGAGCGCTAGAGAATGTAGATGTGGAGGTAGTACTTTGACCGTACAATCAGGCAGCAAGGGAGGGAGGAAAGGAGGGAAGGGGGGGGGGGGGGGTTGGAAGTCGAAGAAGATCCGACGCGGGAAAATCCCCCTCCCTCTCGATTGAATAGGGTGGCGCTCAACGGCCATGTTGGAGACTGTTGACGAGAGGCCGGCGTGAGGCAGGTGAGTGGTGGGCTGGTGATAAAAGCGGCGGCGGGGGTGAGGGTAGAGGTGAGATTTTACCTCTCTTCCAGTGTCAAGCCATATGAAGACCTAGCGTAGTACTGTATTAGTACAACAAACTTGTGAATTGATTCTATAATTGAGTACGCAAATACGGATAATGCTGCTTGTATGTTATATTCCACACCTATTTCGAGCTTTCCGGAACCACCACGAGCACCATCCTGACCTCAATTTCCGTTCCCTTCGCTTTCAAGAACGATAGTCGGAACAGCTTCGTATCCCACATCTCTGCGAGTGTCGTGACCGAAGCCTTTGGCTTCCAGAACAACTGCCATCTCCCTTGCATCTTTCTTTCCTCTTTCAACATCGACCAACATCATGAGTGGCAACGGCATAGCGATCAAAACTGCTAGGAAAACAAAGGCGGGCCTAATCTCCCCATAGTGATCAGTGATAGCGCCAACGATGGCCGGACCAAAGATACTTGAGCCTTTGTCAGTGATAGCGTACAGAGCGTAGAAGGCAGCCTCCGAGCCGGGAGGTATAAGCTCGCCGTAAAAGCTGCGACAATAAGAAGAGAGCCCTCCGAGGACGAAGCCATAAATCGCGCCGAGCGGATACATCTCCCACGGGTTCTGCAAGCCAAACATGCCGAAGTCGCGTACAGACGGGATGAAGCCTAAAAGACCGTAAAGCGGTATGATCTCAAAAAGGCAAATGCACGCAATGATAGTCTGAGAAGCACGCAGGTTGAGCAGGCGAGAGAAGAAGCTCCAACTAAAAGCACCAAATACGCCTGCAATGGTGGAAATCACATTGATGAGTGCCAGAGCCCAAGGCTTCATGCCCAGCGAAGTTTTGGCAAAGAGAATTGCGGTGCCACTGACTGTTGCGATGCCGTCGCTCAGCAAGAACCAGGCAGCAAGGAAGATAACGACGTCTCTCAGATGACGAGCACGTAGGATTGTTAGATAGAGAGATTTCCAGGCATACGTCAAGTAGCTGAGCCAGGTTTGATGCGCTAACGGAAGAGGTGGACCAGGGCGAGGACGAAGCCACAATGCTGCAGGAATAGTGAAAAGAAGCCACCAACTGCCGATAACAAAGAGCACCAAGCGAAGTGAGAACGTGTTCGAGCCGGTGGAAACAACAAGCAATATTGCGATCGACTGCACAAAGAGACCGGCAACGTAGCCAATCCCAATACCGTTTGAAGAAATCTTTGTGGACAGTTTCAATTCTGGAGAGATAGCGGCTGGAGAAGTCCTGGATGGTTTTGTGAGGTCTGGGCCGTCGTCGTGGAGCAGCGCACTCGAAGGATCCAACAACTGATCATCGTCCTCCTCGACATCTCTATGGAGATGTAGTTGCTCAGATCCTGAATCATGGGGTGTTCCGTATCCTTGACGGAGTTGCACAGAAGGATGATGGCGCACGAGTAGCGGGAGAAAGGAGTTGAGAAGTACAAAAGAAGCACCAAAACAAGTGTTGGCAATGATTGCAAGGAGGGCGCCTAGGAGATAGACCTTCGGCACCACTGGCAAGAAAAGCATGGTAGAAACGGCGCCGGTTATCGCAAAGGCAAGGAGAAGTGTCTTTCGAGATCGACCGTGGTCAGCAGCTCCGGACATGGAGATAATAATCAGAGTTTGTACCAAGACACTGATAGAGAATGTATACATGGCAAAGCTTGCCGTATTGATCTCCACGCCCAAGATGTGTACCACGCATGCTGGTGGTTCTTCTTGACTGTGAAACAAGGAGCTGCCACGGATGGTAGCAGCGCTTCTATCTTTGACAAGAGAAGTGGTGTTCCAACCTGAAGAGCATGGTAGCGATTGGTCGTGAAGCTGAACTCCTCGATCGCGCGCAAGTTGTTCTAAAGTAATTGGCAGGAAGGAAGCTGAGGAAGATCAACAAGATGTACAGGTCTGCGAAAGCTCAAGCTCCTTACCCATGGCGCAAATGGCGAAGACCTCCGCTGCCCATCCATAGCTATACCATCCTGCTAACTCTTTGCGACTTGTCGGACGTGGATCTTCGTCTTCGTATCGAGGGTCATGGCTTCCAGGCGCCCGCGCCTCTCTCTCCATGTTGAGGCGCGAATACTCTAGCGACGAGTCCTCATCGTCTGCCTCGATTGAGGGAGTTGGGGATACAAGGGAAGCTTTCGAGATGCCAGATTGAGATCTTTGCACCGGTGGCCGTGATGGACCCTGTTGGTTCCGAGGGACCTGAGACGATGGTTTGTTAGCTGCGGATCATTCTGGAGTACATAAGAAAGACCCTGATGATCGAGACGAACCATCCTGCAGCTGCCCAAACACGTGGCCACGCCGATTGGCTGCGCAGACAAGGCTCGCGCTCAGGAATTCAGCAGAGATTTGAGCCAACTGTCCAACTCTTGCGTCCTGCCTTCACCAACAAGACTACGGCAAAGAGCCATCTTAAGTGTAACAATATGTGCTTGCAAGGTGGAGCCAGCCGCCCATCTAAGGAATACCATGTGCGACGATCTGCCCGCATGACAGCTTCTTATTCGAGGGCGGGCGAGTCTGTTAGGGACGAAATTAGCTCCCTCCACCATCCCCCCTTCCGATGCTCAATCAGGTTCAGTGTGCGTGCTACGTCGATGCTAGGCAATGTCGGTTGCTCAGAGCTGTTCTACATCTGACATACTACGTAGAGATAGCAAAAGATAAAAATTCCCATACCTATCCGTATCTGGCCATCATAATTACAGTGATCGGGCGTAGTAAAGTAAGAAGGCCAATGCATTCTGAAATGTCTTAACTCGTAGGCTGAACGCCACCAGTTGGCAACGGTTAACAGAAGAAGAGAAATGATAATTGCGACCATGTACGAAGCTTACACTCGACAAATGAAGACTACATACATCTACGGAGTACTCCGTACTCCATACTTGATTCCAGCATCCAATTTACCACAACTTTGTATTGTATATAGTTATACGTATTTATAACGCCAAGGCTCTCTCTTTCAGAATTAGCTGCGCCTCACTGAGGTAGTTAGTGCGGCCTTTAGCCGATCGCAGTAAGCTTGGGCTGTAACCAAGCAGAGGGAAGGCGCTCCCCCGTGCAGTTTGACAGTTGCCCGTCAAGCAAATCCAAATCTGCGGTCGCATTCCTCAACGCGCATTTCATGTATCATTACCGCCTCACTCCACCTCCACTCACTAATTGTGGCTACGTCGTCGCCTGAACCTCCACTCGATCACCGCCGCTCCCATCAGTGTTTGTCATAGCGCGCTGTGACGATAGACAATGCGGCGACTGGTTCCAAGTCCTCGGACATGCGCGGTCTGTTGATCGAGCAACATCAGTTATGGCATCACCTAAATTAAATGGCACACAGCAGCCTGTTTCTAATGGTATAATTGCTAAGCAGGCGGTCAACCAGAATGGAGGACACATTGGTGGAGCATTGAATGGCGCGACGCAGGGTGGAGGAGATGAAGAACGGGCAACCCACCACAACGTGGTTAATGGTGTTGCGCAGGACAAGATGGAGGAGGGTACTTCCGACCATCCAGTGAACAGATTGGATGGACTTCCTGCAGAGATCAGGCACCTCACCCAGCACTTTCGCCCTTTTCATAAAGTGGTACATCGCTCAGTCCAGCAGACGTTTAACGGCTATTCCGACCTACTGGACCAGCTATCCGAACTCACTGTCGCGCCCAGCCTGACAGCATCAAATGCCTCTTACGTAAAACCTCAGGTCAACGGGGCTGCCTCCGGCGACCAGTCTCCAGAAAACCTGGAAAAGAAAGATCGCATACTCAAATTCCAGCAAGATCAGCGAGCACTGTATATCAAGTTTCTGGTGCTCCATGATTGGTTTCAGAAGTCGCGAGGTATCGACCAGGTCATCGAGATCAGTATGTGGATGCACGACCAGAGAACTCATTTTGCTCAGGCTGCTGATTTCATTGGGAATATGAAACGTGAGCTTGCGATGTGGCAGGTACCTAACCCAGATCTCCAGACAGCCGTTGAGATACTATCCAATGGAAGGGCTTCGGCATTATCCGATCTTGGTTACGTGCCGAAGAAGCCACTGTCTTCAAAGGAAATGCTACGGACACTAGAGGACATCAACATACTTCTCTGCACCCGGCTGAGCTTGCAAGACCGAGTCCCAGAACCTCTGTCGAAATACTCAATACACGATGGACGTGTTACTTTCATCGTCCCTCATGAATTTGAGCTTGATCTTTCCGTCGCTGATGAGGACCCTACATCTCAGTTTTATTTCATCGACTTCAGATACCTGTTTTCACAGCGCTCTACGTTTCTCAGTGGCAGGCTGCACGACGATTTTGCTAGCAAGGTCAACGACGTACTGCGAGGAGACGGTTTACTAGGCTGCTACAACCTTCTCCACGACCTTGCGCTTTCGCACAAGCTCAACAGCCTTCGCAGACAAGCTCTAGATATGGTTCGGAAGCAGTGGTGTGAGAGTCTTAGAGTTAATCTAATCAACCGCACGTTGGTCGTGCAGTACTGGCTGAATCGGCCAAGGCCTAAAAGCTGGATAGAATTAGGCGTAAAGAGCGGGCGTCGAAAAAACCGGAGAGATCGATTAAGGCCAGCAGAGCCCTTTCTGGACCTACGATGGATGCCTGAGAAAGAAGAGAACCACGAAATCCTGGTTGACTTCAATGCATCACCATTGTCCATCGAGAATATGCTGTGCGGTGCAATCTCTCGCCATTCGAGCATCATCCTGGAGAGGCTTTATGAGAAATTGTTAAATTTCAGGCTGTATGCTGGCGGAAAACATGCCCTGGAACTTTCTATTTCCGACGCGGAACCAAGTGACTGCTCATTGCATATCCAATTGACCAACAGCAAGCACGTCACTCTCTCGATCGAGCCCATTACCGGTTCCCTAATCTTACGGCCTGCTTCTTCGTTGTCAGGTAGAACCGAATTTGAGCTGAACCGGCTCCAAAATCCCGTGGATGATGGCGTTCAGCATATCAGTATGCTGCGCTGTCTAGTAGCCGAACAGGAATTTACTCAGCACGCGAATATTGCAGGCTGGAAGGTTGTGCAAACCTTCCGGCTATCACAACGTGAGCTGAGAGCACTTTTCCCTTCGGCTGTTTTGCGATACGTTTTGATTCGGCAACACTCGTGGCAACAGAATGCTATGGTTGCCGCTACTTTCAGCATGGAGAGTGACAATTGGTGGCTGCTATATCCTGGTGTGCAAGGTTCAAGCGGAGATCCAAAAGCCCTTGTGCCACAACGCATTCCTCGTGTGGAATGGCAAGAAGAGAGCAAAACGAATTCTACTGCATTGTTATCGCAGCTGAAGGAGTACGCGTCTGGAGCAATCACTTTCAAGATCGCTGAACAGGAGCTGAAACAGAAAAGCCTGCACTTCCAATCATTTGCGCTGCCGCAATTGCAGAAGCACGTTCCGTTGCCAGTTATGAAAGTGCGATATGCTCTTACCGATGAAGCACGTACTATGAGGTCTTTAATGTCCGACGCGGAATCTAAAAATGAAGTACATGATGACAAGAAGGATGATAACCCATCTTGGATACAGTCGACTGTATGCTTGGGCTTCTGCGGCTTTAACAAATCCACGAATAGTGCTCTACTCCTTGCCAAAGGCCGTACTAATGCATCCACAGATGTCCTTGAAAGCTTGAATTCACTGGTCGGCTCGAAATTCAAGATCAACACCAAAGCAGGTGAATTCGTCATGAGCTTTCAGGTACCGATAGGAATCTCCATTGTCCCAGAGCTTTTCACAGGTCTCCGTAATCTTGACAGCCTGTTGTCTTGCCTTACGATTGTCAAGAGCTTCGAGTCAGTGAGGATTCAGTCACTATCACTATCTCAAATTGTTATCGAGTATAATCCAGAGGCAGAGCTTACTACCTCTATCGACTTTCCCTCTTCTAACTCGTCAGTTGCTATCCGTCTATTGCCAGAAGGTTTTAATCCTCATACACGTATCTCTCATTTCATTGAGAATCTGCTCGCTGACCGCAAACGGCGTTTTACTGCCAATCTTGGAGGAGTTCTGACAATGCTATCCACCACGTATCCTTTGCTGACATTGTTTGATGAACTCGAAAAGCTTCGAAATGCGTCAGATTCTGCGATAGAAAGCGAGGCCTCTTCATCATCCACAGTCCGCCTTCATGCGATTGCTCGCTCTCCTACACATTATGCTCTACAGTATTTTGCATCATCCACATACTCCTCCACGATGATTGCTCGTGTCGAGATCTTCCGCCATCTCCGGCGAGACAGCCCTGTCTGGATCTTACGCCCTGCGATCGAGGAGACGTTCGCATATTCACGTTCCTCCTTCATCAACACTGCTCTCAAGCAGAAGCTCATGGACGACGTTTTCAATATCCGAGGCGCACATGGATGGCTAGGCCTTGACACCGGTGCTTTATCTCCGATCGATAGTCCAGGTCCGCTTGTGAGAAAAATCGATGAGGTGGTCAGGACATGGGCAAAAGAGCGGTTGAAAGACCTGCTCGGGGAGTCGCACGGACAGGAACAGCAGTCTTCCAAAGATGAAACGAGGGCGTCAGCGTCCGAGTCCGCGCCTATACCCAACCATTCCGCGGATTCTACATCACATCATCAACAAAATCAACAGCACCATCAACAGCACCAACAGCCGCAGCGGCCCGGAACTGGAGGATCAAACCCTACCATCAACGGCACCATCCAAGGCAGACCAGCAGCCAACACGCAGAAACCAGCATCACAACGTCAACATAGTGCCAAAGACATCATCAATCTCGATTAATTCGACTTCGACTCGTCGCGATTTTCATATCTTTTCATCCCGCCTTCAACGAGGGCAAAAAGTCTAGAGCTACGGTTACGGATGGCGTTGCGCTCTTCGGATAGAGCCAGGAAGACCATGATATGTACCCGGATGGCGTTGCGCTGTTTGACATGGCATGACAGGCAACGCGGCGCAAGTGCATTTGGAGTTCGATACCCAGGTGGTTTCTTTTGCTTCGGTTTTGGTTTAACAGCTCGGGCGGTGTCTCACATACCTAGGACGCTTGTTGTTTTTTTTCTTTTCCTGCTGCGCTTTAGTAAGATAGTGAGGTTGCTACGGCGATATCCAGGCAAGGAGGGGGGAAGTTCCCTAGGAGGTGCCAATGCACGCAGTGTGTCCTAAGGAAGATCAACAAATGTACAAAACTGATACAAAATATGTTTCTCTGCCTCTGTGCTGAACCATCCGCGCCTGCCCGCTTCTTCTGGTCGCCGCGTTACTCACCATACTTGGCACATGCCTCTTTTTATCATCATCATCCAGAAGCAACGCTTGAGGCCGACTTGTGTGCCGTTGCGGAATCATCATTATCATTATTATCACCATTGCGCTGACTGGTACTGTAACACAAGAGTGAACCTTCCAAAAGACGACACCGACACATCCGCAACAGATGAGCACATCAGCAAATTCTGGCGCTGTTATCTACCTGAGTTCTTTTCCCACGCCCATTGAACCGGATGGAAGTCCTGGCCCCCGTTCCTCGAGACTCCCCAAGACCCGCACGGCCCGGGAATGCGTCTTGGTTGAAAGATGCAAGTTTGATGACTGTTTCTGAAGAGATTCTGGAGCTCTGTAGATTCTGTAGCGGCGTGATAGAGCGAAGATGGAGGAGGGAGGGAGGGAGGGAGAGCGGTGTGGGTGATTGCTTGGAGACCTTCCCGGAAGTCGCGTGGTAGATGGAGCTAGTTAGATATGACACGTTTTACAGAAAATTTTCGATTCTGGCCCGTTCTGGCGAGAATTCTTGCAACGCAAGCCTGCAGCCAGACAACAAGAAGGGCTCCTGGGAATTCAGTACTTGAAAAGCCCAGAGGGCTTTTTCGCCTTCGTTCAAGCTACGAAGCAAAAGTGTGATGCCCTGGTTGCTAAAACCTTGGCGGCGACAAGCTTGGACGAATATAGGGCTATGGCACGAGATATGGACAGACTGAGCGATCTCCTGTGTCGAGTGATTGATGTGTCAGATTTCATGAGAGTCTTTCACCAAGATGCTGCCATCATCAAGGCTGCCACGCAAGCCTACGAGCATATGTTTGAATACATGAACGTGCTCAACACCACCGCAGGATTGAATGAACAACTCAAGAAAGCTCTTCGCATGCCCGAGGTCAGATCGGGCACCTAGATTCCCCTCACCCCGTTAGCAACTCCCTCACTCAACCACTTAACCACCCCCTCAATCAATGTGTTCGAACAAACCCGCCCCACCACACACCAAAGTTACAAGAAATAAAGATGTGTGATTAACTCACCCGCCACACATGCCTCACCAACCCGTCCTCGCACCCGAACTCCTCGCCACACTCGGCACACGCCAGGTGCCGCTCACTCTCGATCAGGTGGATCAGCTTGGCTTCGAGCGAGGCGAAATCGAGGTCGCATTTGCGGCAGTATTCGTGGAAGAGGGAGGTGGATTTGTGGCGCATGAGGAGGCGCGCGGTGGGGAAGGTGATGGCGTTGCAGGCGGGGGGGGGGCAGGTGAATGTTTGCTTTGGCTTTGGCTTTGGTTTGGGTGAGGAGGGGGATGGGGGTTGAAATGGTGGTGGTGGTGTGGGTGTAGAAGGGGTTGGTGGTGGTTCGTTGGCAGGTTTAGAAGGTTCGAGTGAAGTTGGATCTGGGGATGAAGGTGTGCTGGGTGAGAGGTCGATACCATGCGGTGTGAGATGAGGATGAGGACTGGCGGAGGAGGCGGGCGAGTCCTCTGAAGGCATGGTGCCAGTTGGTGGTGTTGTGGTTGACAGGGCTGGCATTGGTTGTGTTACCAAGTGTAAGGATTGAGTTTGAGTGTAGAAGTAAGTGATGGAATGGGAAAGATTGAGTGACTCAATACTGCTAAGAAGATAAACCATGATATAGAGCTTTAAGAGTAGTCGAAGGACGGGAGGTATAGTAGCTGAACAGGCCTTGGCTGTGGTTCAGATATCAATGAGAAGAGGAAAGAAAAGTATAGCGATATTGATCTCTCGGAGAAAAAACAGCACAGAAAAATGGCCCGATAAATATGACCATGTAGAAAGGAGGGTAAACCATTAACACGAAGGACAAGGAACTGGACAAACCACATAACAGGTTCTATCACAGATGAGTAGTATTTACAGCGGAGTTAGCACGACTACCTGGTGTTGGCGGATGGTCGACCTGGACTGTCATTTTCCGTCTCTAACCCACGACTCCATCTTCTCTCTACCAGCGGCAGCTTTTTCATCCGCCCAATCACCCACTAATCTTGCGTGAACTCTTGTCTGTCTCCAAGCTTCTTTGGTGAAGCCTCTGATCTCTGCATGCGTATTGCTGATTAGGGGAACTTTCTTCTCATACTCCCAGCTCAGGTCGGCAATATTGCGCATTGTGAACGGAATGAGTATCCAACCAGCAGTAATACCCACTGCCAGGGGAAATGTCGTGCGTAGGAAGAGGCCGCGATTTCGCGCAATGATGCTGCCAGTCATCGTCGCTACGAGGACATATATTGCTCCAGGCAGGAGTTGTTCGCCTGTCTCGGGAGCAGGTGCGAGTGAAGCAATCGTATTGGTGAAGGATGTTTCCTTGTTGAGGATGTAGGACATGAACTTGTTGATGCTGTCTTCGGCAGCAAAGGACTGGTCGTATAAGAATATTCGCGCCCTCCTGACCTGGCCTGTCAGGCGATCGGTTGGTGTCGGGGCTGTGGAGGAGGGTTCGGAGACTGGTGAAGTATCTGAGGGCTTCGGCTTTGGGAGGAGGGATGCATGGTCCGAGTAGATAGGTTTTCGATCCGGGATCTGCGAGCTGTAGTCAGCCGGGAGAACTCTCCTGAGGTACGAGAAGCTCGCCGTACTGCTTCTTTTGGTGGTGCTTCAGCATACGCGCTTCTCATCGGGTAGAGAACAGAAGCTCCCCCTGCGGCAGCTGCAAGAAGCGAGGTGCGCTGCACGGGTTAATTGCGTCCTTTCTATTCTGCGGAGGGGTGACTCACCAGCCTCAGCACCCGTCGAGAAGCCATAATAAAGAGAGAGGACGACGCTTACACGTCAATTGGGTGAAGGGTAGCTCGCTGGGTCGCTGGGTCGCTGGGTAGCTGGGTAGCTGGGGTATGTTTTTGAAGCTCCAACGCTTGGGGCGTGCAACGCCAATGCCGCCAATGAGGTTCAACTGGCGAGCTGCTTGGCGCCAAAATGACCGCATGCAGCATGCTGCAGGTCCGCAGCTGCCAAATTCCTGGCCACTCTGAATTCAACCAACATCTGCTCGCCTTGATGTACAGAATACTCAGGCGTGAGCCATGGACCTGCGCAAGATGCCTACGTCGTTTACAACAGTCTCGAAACCTGATGGTCGACGTGCGAGCAGTCCGCAGGCTAGAACACTTCGATTCGCCTGCAGGCCGCCAAACTCGCGATATCTCGAAGCGGCACCTCTCGACTGCCACAGAGACAGTGCAGCTTTCGGAAGCATATCATGCTCCTGTGCTCTATGGATCGTTAGACTTCGACAAGGATAAACACGTTTTACAGAAAATTTTCGATTCTGGCCCGTTCTGGCGAGAATTCTTGCAACGCAAGCCTGCAGCCAGACAACAAGAAGGGCTCCTGGGAATTCAGTACTTGAAAAGCCCAGAGGGCTTTTTCGCCTTCGTTCAAGCTACGAAGCAAAAGTGTGATGCCCTGGTTGCTAAAACCTTGGCGGCGACAAGCTTGGACGAATATAGGGCTATGGCACGAGATATGGACAGACTGAGCGATCTCCTGTGTCGAGTGATTGATGTGTCAGATTTCATGAGAGTCTTTCACCAAGATGCTGCCATCATCAAGGCTGCCACGCAAGCCTACGAGCATATGTTTGAATACATGAACGTGCTCAACACCACCGCAGGATTGAATGAACAACTCAAGAAAGCTCTTCGCATGCCCGAGGTCAGATCGGTGTGGAGCGAGGAGGAAATCATTTCTGCAGAGACGCTGGTCAAGGACTTTGCCCACTCGGCGATTGATCAGTCTCCACAGAAGCGGCAAAAGTTCGTGGATTTGTCGAATGAAATCAGCCGGGTTGGGACAGAGTTCGTCAGTCAAATGGAGCCTGCAAAGCAATATGTCGCTGTGACACGTGAGACGCTACTGGGAATAGAACCTGACGGCACCAAGCAATTCCGAAGCTGGGGAAAGGCCATGATACCAATACATAGCCAGGCCGCCAGGAAGGTGATGAAGTTGGTCGAAGATGAGGAACCACGGAGAGAGATCTATATGGCTGGCAGAACCTCTTCGAAAAAACAGATCCAGAGACTAGAGAGACTTTTGCTGAAACGCGCGGAACTTGCAAAGCTTACTGGTTTCTCGAGCTATTCACAAATGACCTTGTCGCACAAAAGTGCCCTTGCAAAGACTCCCAGTGGGGTGAATACCTTCCTAACGTCGCTGAATGCAAGCAACCGTGGACAATTACAACCACAAATAGATGAGCTGCTCGCCCAGAAAAGAAACTCCGTTCCAAGCGCTTCCGTACTTCAGCCATGGGACGTGGCTTTGTATCAAAATACCCTGAAGGCTCAGTTGGGTCGAAACGCCATGTCCAATCACAGTCTGGAGGGATCGAATGCCTTCTTCTCCATCGGTACGATCATCTCCGGCCTGTCTCGTCTCTTCCAACGCCTCTACGGCATCCGGCTTGCTCCTCAGCCCACAGCGCCAGGGGAGGTCTGGAATCCTGGTGTTCGCCGTTTAGATGTGATTTCAGAGACCGAAGGACACATCGCCGTCATCTACTGCGACTTGTTCGCCCGCATGGGCAAGCAGCCAAATCCGGCACATTTCACCCTCCGTTGCTCCCGAGAGATCACAGCTGAAGAGATAGAAGCAGCACAACTTGGTGACAAGGTCAACGACGGCATGCCAACTGGCATCACAATTTCTTCCATCACGGGCAAGAGAGCCCTCCACCAACTCCCAGTCATCGCTCTTATCTGCGACTTCGACGAGCCCTCTCCAGGTTCGCACACACCAACCCTCCTCTCCCACCACAGCGTCACAACCCTCTTCCACGAAATGGGCCACGCAGTCCACTCCATCCTCGGGCGAACCTCGCTGCAAACGATAGCCGGAACCCGCTGTGCCGCCGACTTTGCCGAACTCCCCTCGATCCTGATGGAGTACTTCGCACTCGACCCCTCCGTCCTAAAACTGTACGCCCGGCACTGGGACACAGACAAACCCATCTCCGACCATCAGGCCACCGCCCTGCAACAACAACAACACAGAGACCAGACCGAGAAAGACGCCCTCTGGCACAACGAGACACAGATCCTCATGTCACTTCTCGACCAAAGCCTGCATTCTGAACTCGCGGTCGAAGCTGTCGAGCATGGTGGTGGCCGCTTCGACTCAACGGAAGTATACCACCGCATCTGGAACTCGCATGGCTCGCTGCCCGAGCCGCGGGATACCTCCTGGCATGGCTTCTTTGGCCATCTGTACGGGTATGGTGGGACGTATTATTCGTACCTTTTTGATCGAGCGATTGCGCGCCAGGTCTGGCGTGCTGTGTTCCGAGATGGGCTTGACGGTGCGGCATTGGATAGAGCTGCAGGCGAGAAGTTGAAGGAGAATGTCTTGAGGTATGGAGGTGGGAGAGATCCGTGGCGCTGTCTGGAGGATCTGATGGGTGGCGGGAAGGGGGTTCTGGCTGAGGGAGGGGATCAGGCCATGTTGGAGGTTGGGCAGTGGGGCGTCGGAGCTGGTGCTGAGGGTGGATTGTAAGAATGTTTCAAGGGGGTGTGGTCGGACTTGTAGATAGATAAGCATTATAAGTGCATGGGAGCACTGTAGAATATGTGAAAGCTCCAACGAAGTCATCGCATCATCCTATTCATTTCTTGGCTGCCTTCTCCTGCTGCTCTCTCATGGCAGCCCTGGCACTCCGGCTTCCACCCAGTTTTGGTCCTCGCTGTACTTGCTCACCGGGCTTGACATTCGGCGGTTTCGGCTGACCTGCCGTACGGTTGCGGTGTCTTGCCTGCATTGCATCAATGAAATCCCGCTTGAATTGCTCGGCTATTCGATCGTCCGCGTTGAGATTGTCTTCCTGAAGGTCTGGCTCGGGCTCGTCATATATTTCAACTTGAGCCTGTTAGTCTATGTGTAGTAGAAACAGTAGTGATGAGTCACTCACGTCTGCTCTCGTGCAGGACCTGCTCTACCAGCTGGTCGCGTTTGACGTCGTCGCTGTTCCTCCGCTTCGGCCCCCGTCGCGGTTTGCCATTGCGGCCAAGCCTGGGCTTCTTCGCCACTACCGGTTCTTCGGGTGGGACTTCTTCTCCCCGAGCTCTGCGCATGGCTAACTCTGTTCGCTGCTGATTGCGTAGCGAGGCATCCCTTCCGAGATCGATCTCGTGGATCTTGCCAAGAGCAGCGGGTTGGCGTTGTGAGGTGGGCATGTCGGACGGGCCAGCATCTTCAGCGTCCAGGTCATGGGTGTTAGACATGGTGTTCGATGGCTCAGGCAAAGCCTGACCAAGACGACGTCTAGCCATCTCGGATTCTATATAAGCGACCCTTGACTCGTTAGTCTCTGTCACTTTCTACTTCGACACCTGCAGGATGGACGGGAAGACGAACATATGCTTGTCCACATCAACCACCTGTCCAGAATGCGTGACGAAGCGGTCAGATATAGCCTTTAGTCCTTCCCCATCGCCGCCGTCTGTTGCGAGGTCGGTAGATGAAGGAGGTGGTTCGGAACTCCGAGTCCTTGTATTGGAGCACTCGATTCCATTCTTCCGACTCTTGTTCTTGCGGAGACGAACCACGTCAGAGACATGGACACTCACAGCCCCTGGATTGGGTTCTGGAGAAGCGGTACCGACTGGTTGGGATTCGGACTCTTCGCTCTCAGAAGCGCGTCTGTTTCTTGTAAATTTTCTCCTCTTTGCAGGTCTGAAAGCTACCGTCACCGCCGGATCAGTTTCTGCATCCATGATATGCAGCCTTGAGCCCTGGCGAAAAGAGTCGAAGTCTTGCAAGTAACGTAGTATAGCAGAGAGTAAAGTGGGTAGCAAGCGGGATTATGAACTACATGTGTATATCATTGTATGTATGTATGTAAGCTTGGCAGGTCGGCCGTACTCAGTGCGTATGTATGTAATAGGGCTGAAGCTTAAGCTGCGGCTCCTTAAGATGTCAAGCCGCTCATATCTTATTCAAAACACCACGAACCACACCATGGAAACGAGTCTTAGCACGATTCGCGCAAGCAGAATTTGAATCGCACGGCATTGGCTTTCTCTCTGCCCCAATAGCAAGTACGCCTGGACATCATGGCTGCGCTGACACCTCAAAATGAGCCAAAGGTGGCCGAGTATGCTGGAGGTATGCTATTCACAGAATGCGCATTATTCTTCGCGGCAGGAAATCTACCTCGCCCCAGGCCTCAGTCCTCAGCGTTCATACATTCTTCCCCTCGTCCATGCTCTGCTTGAGCCAGCCTTGAACTAATAAAATTCCTGGTGCAGATGAAGTATCCGCCCTTGTTCTCGACCCTGGCTACTCAAGTGTACGCGCTGGCTTCGCTGGCGAAGACACCCCGAAATCGATAATACCCAGCTATTATGGCGATACAGGGGACCCTGCAAACCCAAGACTATTCGGCGATCATGTCATTGACCGCCCCCGGGAGAACATGGCCATCAAAAACCCACTGAACAAGGATGGATTGGTGGAGGATTGGGACGCTGCGGAAGCACTATGGCTACACTCCTTTGCTGCTAAATTGACAGGTCTAAGACCGAACAAGGCCTTGCAGGAATGGTTGAACAATCCAGAGAACGTGCCGAATCTGCAACAAGCTATGCGCGAGGCGGAAGATATAGAGAAGCCATTAGAGGACCATCCGTTGTTCATGACAGAATCCGGTTGGAATACTGCAAAGGCTCGTGAGAAATGTGCCGAGATTGCAATGGAATCGTGGGGTGCGCCGGCATTCTACATCGGACGTCAAGGGGTTATGGCAGCTTTTGCCTCGGGAAAAGCTACGGCGCTGATCGTGGACGTGGGCGCCTCGAACACCTCAGTCACACCGGTCCACGATGGCATAATCCTCAAGAAAAGTATCCAACGCTCTCACCTGGCTGGAAACTTCATTTCGTCCCAAATCCGCAACATGCTCGCTTCCAACCAACCCCAACCCATCACCATCACTCCCCACTACCTGATCAAATCCAAAACCCCCGTCGACGCCGGCCAACCCGCCAACGCCGTCCTCCGCGACTTTCCCTCCGACTTCACACCGCCCCAAGCCTCCTTCCGCCGCTACCAAGAGGAACGTACCCTCCTCGAATTTAAAGAACTGGTCGTCCAAGTCTGGCCCGGTCCGACCCCCCTCCTCTCCTCCACCAACGGCGTCACCCAGGAAGAAATCGCCCGAGGCTACCCAGGCAAGACCTTCGAATTCCCGGACGGCTACAACCAGCTCTTCACGTCAGATCGCTACAAGGTGGCTGAATCGCTCTTCGACCACCGCGCCTACATCGCCCCACCACCTACCCTCCAAAACCCAGACACACCCTTCGCCTCGTCCCCACCCACCGCCGAACAAACCCTCACCCACATGATCCGCAGCTCCCTCTCGCACGTCGACGTCGATATCCGACCCCTCATGCTCGCCAACGTCGTCGTCACCGGCGGCTCCAGCCTGATCCCTGGTTTCACGGAACGGCTGAACAACGAGCTGCAGCGCATGTTCCCCAGCACCAGGGTGAGGTTGCAAGCGGCGGGCAACAGTCCGGAGAGGAAATTTGGCAGTTGGATCGGCGGCAGTATCATGGCCAGTCTGGGCACGTTTCATCAGATGTGGATTAGTAGGAAGGAGTTTGAGGAGCATGGGAGCGCGATCGTGGAGAAGAGGTGTAAATGAGGTATGGTCACCCCACTTTGCTTAAGGAGGCGGCGGGAGGCGGGAAGGCGGCGTGTCAGTACTGCTCTTCGCTGGCCAGGAAAAAGATAGCTCTGCAAGAAGGGCGAGTGAAGAGGAACAGGGCATCACCTGTGCTTCCTTCCTCCAGTGGGCGAAAAAGTCAACTCTCCAGTCTCAGTAACGCGATGGGCGTGTGTCCGGCTTCCAGCAAAAGAAGGTAGCAGACGAAGCTCGAACTTCCAGCCAAACCAACATTTTTTAGATCTTGAAAAAGAAAATTAAACTACTCTTTTCCTCGCTCCCATACGACCAGTAGGCATGTGGGCAGCTCGCTTGGTGAAGAATCCGGAATCGCTTCAGCCTAACTCGCCCATATCATGATGGGGGAGGGGCTCATGCCAAGCGGGAGGAAGACGACCTTTTTGAGGACTCTCACTACTACTTACTACGTATGTAGTTAGAAGCAAGCCAGAAGAAGAAGAAGAAAAAATTTGAAATGAGAATGAGGACGAAGAAATCGTACGCCTCCCCCCTCCCCACCCTCCCAGAATTGCAGAATGAGAATTCCTTCCGGTTCGGTGCGTCGGTTCATGGGAAGGGGAGCGATCGTAAGAAAATTAAAAGGATTAGTTAGGTATGGATTTGTATAAAAAAGACTTTTGGTCGAATTCATGTTGACTCAGCAAGCCCCAGTTTGAACCCCCCCAACCCATCACATATATGTTTTTCAAGCCCTGATAAACTAACCGCCTCCTCGTCCTTAATGCAGTGGAACAGGAATTAAATAGAAATAGAAATAGATTAGACTCCACTCCACCCCACCCCAGATATGGCTGGGCCTGCAAGACCTTCCCCTTTTCTCAAAGACAAAAAATATAATGAATAAATGAATAAAAAATAAATAGTTAAACTCCAAAGAGAAAAACGTATAAAAGGCTCTCCGTGCCTTCTGGCCTTTTTCACTCGGCTGCTTGCAGCGTGACCCAGCAAATCTCCTGAGCCGGGGCGGTATATCCCATCGACAGCGGCATGGAGCGGGTGGGTGGAAATGGTTGAGATCGATGGGTTTTTTCACCGTGTGGGTGTCTGTGGTTTTGAGCAATACAGCTGACTGGTTGGTGGGAGTCTAGCCAGATGGTGGCCAAGTGAAGGAAGGCGTGTGGTTCCATGTCTGTGCTGGTTGATTGGTGGAGGATGAGTTCGGAAGGGCTGGGTGGGGATATCTCCCATTGTTGGAAAGGAGTGAAAGATCGGGGTTTTGTTTTGAGAGGGTGGGGAGGAGATGATTGGTAGAATGGACGACATTCATTTTGTTTGCGGATATGTGATTGTCTTATGTGAGGCGTATAGAACTTTTGCTGTGATGGGCTGTTTCCGCTCGGAAATCCTACCTGCATAAGACTATTCGTGACATGGCGTCTCATGAATCGTTCCTCAATGCAGGGGTGAAAGATATGATAGCACGAGTCTTCATCACTGAGCTGGGACTCTCTCTTCCGTACCCTGATCAGCACCCGAAGCTCCAAAATCCTGTGATGAAGCTACTCGTCACTTGGCGATTGCGACCATGAGACAGCGCTCTCCTCTCTGAGCATTGCTGCACGAAAGGGTCGTGGTCATGTTTCCCAAACGGGTAACTGACAGCATTTGTTCTGTCATGACCTCATTTGTATCCCTTCGGTTTTGCTTTAGCGCTGCTTGCGCCTCCCTTGGCCATTGCCGGTTTACTTGGTTTCTTCATCATGGCTTTTTCTTCTTCCTCACTCGGACGTCTCCCATACACGACATACATCTTCTGATAGGCATGCACATTGCGATCCTTGATACATTTGCGGACGTCGATCAGAAAAACTTCGATTTCATTTTGAGTCCACCCCAGTCCTTCAGGCCCAAACAGCTTGTAGGAAAACGCGGCCAAACCGTCCAGCCAGTTGGCTTCCCAAAGTCGGCCAATGTTCTTGAGAGATGGGTGCTTGGGCCATGAATTGAGGGGAATCCGGTCAATCCGTTCGTGGATGTCCACATACCCCGCCTCGCGCATCCAGGTCGCCAGCTTGTCTGCCACGCGCAGTGGCTTTGGGCTTTCCATTTTCGTGATACTTTCCTCCAGATACGAATGCCAAGCTCGAAATGGCCAACTTGGCGGAACAGTGTCATCGTCACAGCAAATATCGGGCATCATCTCATGGCATTCTAGCCACCCTTCACCAGGTTTCAGGTAGCGACGCGCATTTTTTATCAACTTACTGTACGAGGGCAGAGACCCCAGCATAATCGCTACATGAATGTAGTCGAGAGAAGCGAGCGGTCTGCACCAATCGGTCTCGGTGCAATCGTGTACCTCAAAACTCACTCTTGGCGGCACAAGGGAAGGCTGAATGGGTGACAGGTCCGTCCCCGTAATCCGAGCATTTGGAAAGAGCGCGGCTTCTGAAATGTCAGCGTCAAACAATGCGAAATCCATCTCCCAGCATCAAAGCTAAGAAGAACAGCAAGACTCACCCATTTCAATTGGCCAGATGCCGGTGCCGGTTCCGATATCCAAGATTCTTTTGGGGTCCTTTAGGGGCGCGAAGTAGATTTGATCATCGTGAAGCATCTTCAATGCCTGGTACTGCAGGTCGAGTCTGTCGCATTCCATGGTATCGTTCGGAAACAGATAGGCTACCCAAATTCAGCACCCTTAGACCGAAACCAATCGAAGAGGAGGCTTGAGTGCGACGTACATCCTTCTTTGTACTTGTGATATCGACGTCCCCAAGTGACTGGATAATCCGTGATACTTTCCGAGAGCGATTTCGTGTCTCTGTACCCTATTAGACGGGACACCAATATTGCGGATCCTCTATGGCTCGTCTCGAACATCCCATCCCTACCAATACAGACAATGGAAGAGGGACTGTAGCTTACTCATCCTCTTCTAAAGCACGCAACTACCGCAGATCAGCCCGTAGTACGATTAAGAGCAAACACGCACGGAAGTTAGAGGCAATGTATGACATACGTTTGAGGCCATGTTGATCTGATCGAGGCGACTCGAGTTTGCAAATTAGGCTAGACGCGGTTGAGGATGCTGAAGATGTTTCAGAGAATGTGTATGTCTCAAACAGTCTCCAATTGTGCTTCTAGCATATAAGGCCACACGATTCTGCGCGACGACAATTAAGGTGCTCGCCACACCAAGACAGCCGGGTACCTTTAAAAGAGGTGAGAAGTTTGCTAGGCCGGCCCCGTAGCAAATGGAGACAGACAACGGTAAGCGCTCAGTTCGCAGATGCTATGGAGACGAAGGAATAAGAAGCAATGGGAGAACAAAACAAAGATACGGAGGCGACATCTTGATGGAGGGAGGGAGCACTCGGTCAGGTAGTAGTGGCGGGATGATGTGGGCTGGCGTTGGGCATGTCGATATCCTTGACCATGAATACGATTTGTGATCCGGTAGTCTGGTATAAGCTTTTAGGAGCAACTTAGCATGAATTTGGCGAGAATTTATTCGTGAATCGTGATGCGGTGATGACAGAATAATTTAGCCTTGCAGCTAGGTCCCGACGCAGCGGATAGGGTTACCAGGCTAGCAAAGGAGTGGTAAGGTGTTCCCCGCTACTGTTCACCCGCACATAGCCCACATAGCCCAAGAGGTGCTGCTGGCTACTTAGGACGCCACAGTTGTTCCGGCTTTTCGTTCACGGCACTACGACCTACGAACTACGTACTCTGATGTCAGAGACCACGAAAACATTAGAGAGCACGCTCTGGCTCCTAGAAGCAGCCACGGGCCATTATTGAATTCGAGACGTTCACGAACTTCTGCCTTGGTCAGGCGGGTAAACCGGGCATGGTGGTGGCAGAATGTGACCGGTTCTAGAATAAGTTTCGAGTCCCGAATCCGTGGAGCCGGGGTTGGCTACAGCACGCAATACGCAATACGTAGTACATTATGCACGTCCCGAGCGGAGAGATGTATCCCACGACCCACGCCTACCATCCTGTCTTCTATCCGTGGTATGGGTGTCATCGTCCTGAAACGTCTCCAATGCACTGCATGCTTTGCTGGCTCCAATAGTCCACCCCGACGGCGCCATCATTGGTGGTCACTGTAAGGATCGGTTTAGTACCCCTTTTGTTGGTGCATTGCAAACCTCTGACACGTTAATCAGTACTTTTGCTCCCAGCGTGCTGGACAAAGGGCGTGGATCGTGCATGTTACCATACTCGTTTCACTGCCGGGCTCCGTGCCATCTGTACTTAGACGGCCAGGCGTCAGAGCATATGGCCCAAGTGACAAGGGCATGGGCGAGGATTCAAGCTTCCAAGATTACTCCTTCTTGCTCAACTACTCCTCACCTGCTTCCCTACTCGAATATTGAGGTGACTGGATCCCTTCACCTCAGATTGCCCTCTATCATGGCCTGTGAAGCTAACACATCCGGAATGTTCGGACCGATATCATATTCGTGCCAAGAGTACGGGTTTCGCCGTGATCACGTGCTCTCTTCTTATCTGCTCACTAAAAAAGAATCAAGAGCTAGTACAGGAACGGGATGATCCAGGCTTCGCACAACAACCTCACGGACGGGACTTTGTTCGTGGAACAGTACACTTATCCCCCTCAAGGTGTCTTATTCTGGTGGAGGATAAGAAATCTATCGATCCACTTCTTCGGCTGTCTAGAAAGGATTTGAGATATCGCAAGTGCGGGACGTGTTGCTGGAGTCGTCCTGATAAGCGCCAAGTCCTTCCTAGTTCCAGTCTTGCAGGGTCTCGAAGTCATCAAAAATTTTCCGTTAAGGCGAAGATGGATGAACAGTTGAGGCTTGCTATCGGGTATCACATCTGATCTCTGGCGATGCACCGGAGACAATAATATTAAGTCAAAAGGGTGAGGTGCTAAACCCAAACCTTTTTTTTCTGCTGGGGCCCCGTTGATAAGGAGGGATCCACATTCAGGCAGGTTATCTCTGGGGACTGCGATAAGCCCTCCATTTCACCAACCACACCCGATAATTTCCTTCTTCCTGCCTCAATCTCGCATATACTCCTAATCCAGGCGGCCACTGCTTATTCCTACCTCACCAATGATGTTCCAGCTTTGATCCCAAGCCACATGTTTTGGCCATGTTTCGAGATAAGGACTGAGTGGGCTCTACCTCAATTGGAGCTCCCCCTTGATGATGGTCGCCTACATCCCATGTGCCACAACGCTGGGCTGCGTCATTCTGCTTGAAGGTCTTTCGAGTTGACTTGTCACGATCTTGCAGACACACGTGCATGAGCGAGGGTCTCCAGGGCAGGCTTTCAAGCTCTACCATAATCCCACTTACTGTCGAGGTAGACGACAGTTGTATAGCTCAACGCCCTTCGAGACGTTCTGTCACACCACTGCCACGCTTGATCTGGAATCACTAGAGGCTGCGGCTGTGATCTGGACCTGGGAGTCGCGTGTGCAATTGACGGTCTCTTATCAGCGACCGAAACAAGCTCGACACCGGGGTTGGCTTGCAGCCTCGATCTCCCTAACTCAAACTGCTGATCTACTCAAGGGATCATCCGCGGATTTGCTATTTGGGCTACAAGTGTCCAAAGTAGTGTTGTTTCTTTGGACTTCCGGAGAAACCATAACATTGAATATCGACACATCCTGCCAAGCTATTGGCATTGATACTCACCAGGCCACTCAACGAGCCCGGGTGTGTTGTATATCAAGGCTCTCCCTCTCCCCTCTCCTTCACTGAATCTTTTATCGACATCTCAGACCTAGTTGGCATTACATTCTCACATTCAATCTTTATTCCCCCACATCATGTTGGACTACACCACCCTCTGGAGGGCCCCAGAGGTCAACCCTATCAACCACAAAGCTCGCTCCGTCCCCTACTTCAACCCAATCAATGTTTACGGCAGAGTGTTCTTCTTCTCTTGGTTCGGTTTCTTGATTGCTTTCTGGTCATGGTATGCCTTTCCACCACTGGTAAGTTCCCATCCTTGGCACCCTTCACGACTCAGTTGCTGACCAGTCTATTAGCTGAAAGTCACCATCGCAAAGGATCTCAACCTGACCACCTCCGACATTGCCAACTCCAATATCGTTGCTCTGACTGCCACGCTCCTTGTCCGACTTGTTGCTGGCCCAGCTTGTGATCGATGGGGCCCGCGTATCACCTTCTGCGCTACTCTCCTCATTGGAGCTATTCCAACAGCCCTTTCTGGCGCTGCTTTCAATGCATCCCAGTTGCTGGCCCTTCGATTCTTCATCGGCATTCTTGGCGGCAGCTTCGTGCCATGCCAGGTCTGGTCTACAGGATTCTTCGACAAGAATGTGGTTGGCACCGCCAATGCGTTCACTGCCGGCCTGGGAAATGCTGGTGGTGGCATCACGTACTTCTTGATGCCAGCCATCTTCGACTCTCTTGTTACGCAGCAAGGTCTGACTCCACGCGTGGCTTGGCGCGTTGCATTCATTGTGCCCTTCATTTGCATCACTGTTACCGCCATCGGCATGCTGTTCCTCACCCCAGACACTCCTACTGGGAAGTGGAGTGAGCGTCATCTTGCGGTTCAGCGGAATCTAGCCAATCATGGTGTCACTGCAGTCGTCGTCGATGCACCGGGTGGGATCATGGACAAGAAACCCAGCGAGGATGGCTCGATCACACCTCCATCCCAACAAGGGGAGAAGATGCAATTCGAGGCAACTGGGGAGCGCAAGCAGTCATATGACCACGAAGCCCAAATGGGCGAACAACAAATGCTGGATACCGCTCGAGGAGAAGTTGTCGTCAAGCCAACATTGCGGGAAGGTTTCAGAGTCTCCGTGAGCCCTCAGGTGCTAGTCGTTGCTGGGGGTTACTTCTGCGCCTTTGGTGGTGAGCTTGCCATCAACTCCATCCTCGGATCTTACTACCTCAAGAACTTCCCATCTCTTGGTCAGACCGGTTCCGGAAAGTGGGCAGCCATGTTTGGATTGTTGAATGTCGCTTTCCGCCCACTGGGTGGCATAATCGCCGATATCATCTATAACAGGACACATAGTGTGTGGCACAAGAAGATTTGGATTCATCTGCTGGGCCTGTTCACCGGCTGCTTCCTCCTTGCCATCGGGCTTCTCGATCCCCACGACCAAAACACCATGTTTGGCCTGATCGCCGGTATGGCCTTCTTTATGGAAGCCAGCAACGGCGCCATCTTCGCCCTCGTGCCGCACATTTCCCCTCACGCCAACGGCGTTGTGTCAGGCGTGACGGGAGCTGCTGGCAATCTAGGAGGTATTGTCTTCGCCATCATCTTCAGATATCATCCCGGCAATTACCACAGGACCATCTGGATCATTGGTGCCATGATACTTGCAATTCATTTGTCAGTCTGCTGGATCAAGCCTATCCCAAAGGGTCAAATTGGTGGACGATAGGTGCTGAGCCGTTGCGGGCTGGTAGACACCTTTTAAGTTTTGTGTATCTGCGGAAGAGCGTTAAGACGATCAGTGAAAATAATGTACTATCCCATTGCAGAACAGAGACTGCTTTTCTCTTGACTACTTGCCATTCCACATTCAACGTGTGTCTTTTCTGTATCTCACATCAAGTAGAGTAGATTAAAGTGTGTCTAGCAAGGCAAAAGTGCTGCAATCCCGGAATTAAGTGAAGCTTCAATGATGAACGATGGCCAACACCCACCGCCAAGATGACGCCGCTTTTGATACACACTGCAACCTCCGCAGCCCACTCGAACGTTACTACCGGTGTCAGAGAGCTCATTAACTGGCAATGAACTCCATGCCTTCATGAACACAGTGTCACTGGATGATCAAGTGTCAGAAAGCAGCCCAAGGCTCTTGGGTCTATTCGTTGACTCGATCTTATGACATATGATTGCCGGATAGCTTACAGCGGACTTCGAAAACCTACTTACCCTTCCAATTCGATATGGATATCGGATGCCTTGCTTGCCGGGACGATACAGCGCTTCACCTATCTACACCTTCGTCATGGCAGTGCCGTGCCCGGGCCCCTTGAGGCGAGGAGAAGAGCTACACGGCGAAAGAATGCATCCCTCACAGCTACGGGACGTGGAGGTGCCCCGACTGAGGTTGGAGCTCTGTTCGGGCCTGGCAAAAAAGTGGACTGGTGGAATGCCCCTAATCCCTCTGAACTGCAAGCAGAGGTAACCGAGGGTACGGCCTTAGATACCATCCAATGCCCTTTCATACTCACCAAGCGTAGCAACCTCAATATTGCCTTCCTGGCTCACGCGGAGAAAACCCGCCCCACACAGCAGTGTCACCTTCCGCGAGCAATTGGCGCATGAGGATTTCCGGACGCCGAAGATACCGGCTACGCAACCATCGGCTGCCATTTTACATGACTCGCTTTCTGAGTGTCAATCCTTACAACAGATCAGGGAGCTGGTCCAGCGTTCAGAGATCAACCTCCTGCAGACGCCCGGCCACAGCCGCGACATACTGAAATATTTGCTAACATCAGGTCTGGCAATCAGTGAGCTTCAAGACTTCTTTCTTGACAGAACACTTCATCCTCTGGGTAGTGGTTGTTTCGAGGAATTTTGTGATTGGCTTGTTTCTAAACCACATACAGAAGCACACCTTGACCACTATTATGTCTGTGTCCAGAAATGCTTGCATGTTGGACTCTTATCAGCTCGGGAAATCCAGTCGCTACTCACCAAGCTGGCAAGCGCCAAAGTTGTGTCGCAAGGAACCATCGAGAAACTCGGCGATGTTGCAGCCATACAAACGTGGTATTGGATGATGGCAGATACACTAAGTAGCTGTCCCATATTCGGTCTGAATGATCTTGGGGAAAAATGCTTGCAGCAATGGTCTTTTGGCGTAGCAGAAGCCCCGTTTGCTCCCTGCGCGCTGGACACTTTTTGCAAAGTACAACGATACCTTGCCACATCCGATCGCTTTGGCTTCAAGGTCAATACAGTACGAGGACTTGTGAGAAAATGGATCGATTATACGCAGGCGCCCCATCAACAGCGCCTACCAAGCATGGATCGAAGCCAGCAGGAAACAAAGGTTGCTAATCTCTTGGTGACCGTGCAGCCATCTGTTGCAGCCAAAAGCATATGTCAGATCACGGAAAAGCTGGTGAGAGATGTTCTGAAGGGAATTCGACAACCAATCGCGCTTGATATCTGGATGCAAACTTTGTTACGGTTTCCAAGATCGTTGGCCAGCGTAGTCCTTCAGCAACGGTCATGGAGACAGGGTCTTGCCGAGGACTCAGTAACTGGGCTCTCATCCCGTCAAGCCATTGCTGTCAGGCTTTGGACGGTCACACGCTTGGCCACGCAGCAGCAGGAGCCTGGCCACAAGCATGAACCAGGAAATACGACACAGTCTCTCATACGGCTTTTTCAAAGACAACTCAAGCCGGATCAGAATCTCTTGGCAGAGCTGCTATTCACTCTCCAATCCCTACCACTCCCATCTCCATCCGCTGTCCTTCAGGTGGCCGTGGCTCGTGACACTGAAGGTTTGCAAGTCCGTGGATCGATAGACAAACTCCAGGCCGATATGATAAGAATCTGCCAATCACGCATTTCCGTGTTCGAGGAAGATGTCTTATACAAGAACGCCAAGATCAACCTCCGTTCCTATCTGAGGCAGCTTGCCGAACGGGTGAACACGAACCCAGAAGCTTTCCTTCGACTGGCCCATGATTTGATCATGAAAGACAAGCTATCGATCAAAGTTATTACGCGTATTCTCGAGCACAATTTGCCTCTCGGCCTATCACTAGCAGCCCCCACACAAACACCCTCCAACGGTTCCGAAACCACAACACCACTACTCACCCCCATCACTCCACCACCCCTCGCCCCAGCCGTCGCAATCCATCTCGTCAACTCGCTCGCGCGCGTCTTCGCCCTCTCCCCTGTCCTGTCCCCACGCCAGTCCTTTCGTAAAGTCTACTGGCTTTACCTCTACCTCCACCGCTTCACCTGGGGCATTGGCATCGGTCGGGACTTCACCCGCGCCCTGTGGCATGCCGGCGTGACTCGATACAAGGAGACTGGCACGAGTCCTGAAAAAGTGGGCTGGATACTAAGTAAGGTGAGGGAGGTTGAGGGTCAAGAAGTTGCGGATCGACTGCTCTGGTTTGGGAGTGGTGGAGTGGAGGGCTGGGAGGAATGGATGGTTGACAGCTGCGGGGGCGTGGATCGCGAGGGCTGGAAGAGGATTTTCAACACCAGGATCAGTGGGACCGGGACCAGGACGGATGGGCAGAGATGTCGGGAAGAAGGAGAGTTGTGACTTTACAGAGAACAAGACCATGGATCATGATGTGGATACCATCCTACTTTCCGCGAGATATATATCCTCATCATCACGCACAGACCGCACCAACCTACCCACCTATGAAACTTCAATCTCTCGTCACATACCAGATCAAGTACGGAGTACAGTCAGTGTAGAACGAGACACGAGCTACTACGCATCATCACGCATGCCATGTCGTACTAGTACCTGAGAACTTAAATCTCTATCAGATTTACTACAGACTACGCTCGCAACACTACCACCCACCGCGGCGAGCGCCGGATAGATAATCATGGTACAGTAAGTGGAGTTGGGTCGAGCGTGCGAACGTGGCGTGGAATTTCTGCGAGAGAAAAAGGAGAGGAGGAGATGGATAGACTCCGTAGATATGGGTGATTGAGCGGGTAAGGATTTTTGGGGGGATTTTTCCAAGGGTACAGCAGGTTCGCTTTTCGTCTTTAGGGCCTGGAAGGGTTGGTGGGTTGTTTGGTTGCTTGGTTGCTTGGTTGCTTGGTTGCTTGGTTGCTTGGTTGGTGAACTTGAGGATGGATCTGGGGGCAGGATTTGAATACCGTTCTGTTCCGCGAAGCTGGGTGGTAAGGTCGTGGGATGTGCATTTCTATTGACCTGTTGGTGGTCCTGGCGGGGGAGAGAGAGAGAGAGAATTACAATGGCTGTATGTGCCTATCTAACCATCGACGTCCATTTTCTCCACCACGACCAGACTATCCGAATCACTTCCACTTCCATTCCCATTTCCACCCGTGGTTGGCAGCTCCGACACGGTGACATATCTCCCAATCTGCTCCTTGGTGATGATCTTCTCCTTCAGCCAGGCGGTGGTGCCCTTGGGGAACTTGTAGTCGCGCTCCTTCTTGACGCGCTCGTTCGGCCTGATGTGATTGCGCATCATCTGCGTGGGCTTGCCCTTCTCGATCACACAGACGTCGACGTTGGAGCCGGAGCCGAGGTCGTTGAAGATGCCGGCCTGGATGGCCTCGCTGCAGACCTTGATGGCGTCGTCTTTGCTGCAGTTGTTCTTCCACTGCGTCTCGAAGACGGCCATGGCGGCCAGACTGCCGGAGCCCATGGTCACGTAGGGCAGTTTGTCGGTGGAGCCGTGGGCGTGCACGGTGAAGAGCCCGACTCCGGTCGGGTCGACGCCGGCGACGACGAGGTAGGCCCCGATGTGGCCTTGGTAGCGGAAGAGGTGTTGTTTGAGCATCGTCATGACGGTTACGACGCGCGGCGGGCGGCCGGTGGAGAGGGAGTGCAGTTCGAGGCTGGACGAGATGAGCGAGGTGGTGAATTCCGTGTCCGCTGCTGTGCCGGCGCCGGCGCAGAAGATGGACGGCGAGATGTAGTGCAGTTTTTCGCAGTTCTAGGGGAACATAATGGTTAGAAATACTCTGGGAATGCATTGGGGTCGGTGGTAGAGAGATATCGCTTTCGGGAAGGGTCCCAACGCATCTTCCCCATCGTAGATACTGCTGTTGATCATACCTTGTCAGCAACTATTGGGCCGCTGGTAGCTCTCGTGTCTGCAGCTATCTGAGGTCGAGTCAGCTGTCTGCCCGGCCACTGGTCCATGCTTGTTCTTTGCGTACCACCACACCATTGTCGAATATACATCCGACAATCGTGGTCCCTGTACTCGTCGCTTTCGGTAACGGCACTCCCCTGGCATGGAGAGCCAGATTCCGATTGTAGTTTGAGAAGTCGAAGCCAGGCATGATGCGCAAGGCCGGCGTTGAGCCAGCTGCGTTGCTGAGTTGGATAAGGCAAGACGAAGCTGAACACGGAGCTTGAGAAGAACCCGCTGCAGTCCACGATCACGAGATGGTGGTGGTGTGTGAGGGAGTGAAGGTAGAAGTAGATGGGAAATTGTTGTCGTTGATGACGAAGGAGTAAGCTGCCTGAAACTCCACCAAATAGTTGCAGGTAATTACGGAGTACGGAGTACTTTGCACCAAATGGGAAAACGCGCATGAGAAGGTTGCCAAGCCTAGATGGGCGCGACGTCGCAGCGCAACTTGAACTTGATGTAAAGTTCAGCGAAGCAGTCCCTAAACACTTGGATGGTTAGACGCGGAATTCTGTAAGTTCAAATGCCATGAAAGTGGCCGAATCTTTCTCCTCCTGCGCGTTCATGTTCAGCATTCACAATTCGTGACCAAGCATCCTTTCCATTCCCTCGGTGGCCGCTATCGGCAACGCGACATTCCTTTACTACTGCTCTACCGTCACCGAGGCGGAGTGACTCTGATGCTCACGATCTACGAGCCTCACCAGAACAATCGACGAGCCCACTCGCTGCCCAAATCCCAAGGTTGAGGATGGCCTTCAGCTTCAACAATAGCAACAACAGCAACAACAGCAACAACAACAACGGTGGCACTCCTGTCTCAGCCATGCAAAATGCTGGTGTTGCGGCTCAGACTGGCGACGAACTGCCTGAAATACATACTGAGGTATGAAGCCAGACAGAGAAAGTTTAGGCACTTCTCGCTGATGTTTTTAGCAACTCGGCTTCCAACCTGTAAGCGGCGATTGCAAACTCCAGCTCCTTCCCACACCGTGGCCTGCAGATACTCTTCCTCAACCCAGCTCGTCTTTGCTCAGCGTGGCCTCATCCAAGGGCCTGGTAGCTGCTGCAGCACCCAATGAGCTCGTCATTGCGAGTACTACCTCGATACGAGACGCCTGGGCTTCGGGTCCAAAGCCGGAGAACAATGTGAAGACTTTCAACCCACCGGCCAAGATCAGCGTTCCCAGACTGACGCATATTGCATTTTCCGCCGATGAGAACGTTCTAGTGATTGCTGGTGAAAGTAATGGTGGACTGGCAGCTTATCAGGCCGATGCGCTCACGACGGGTCAACCAAAGCCGGCCCTTGAGATCTCCACTAATGATCAGGCGTTGAGGGCACTTGCGCCAAACCCGAATGTGCAGTTCGCAGAACTATTCGCAGCGGTGACGAAGAACGGGCAGTTGTTGATCGCAGACCTGAAGGCGGGCCAGCTTCGGAGTGGAGCGAGTGGGCCAGTGCTGAAGAGCAACGTGAGTTGTATTTCTTGGAGTAATCAGGGCAAACAACTCGTGGCTGGTCTGGGAGATGGCACTGCCGTTCAGATGACGCCAGACGGTACGCCCAAGGCAGAGATACCTCGTCCACCTTCGCTGGAGGGCGTGAAGCACGTGTCGACGCTATCTTGGTTATCGAACGACACCTTTCTCATCATCTACAGTTCCAGCTCCAGCTCCGACAGTGAGGAAGTGCCTGAACCTTCTGATTACTTTATCGTGTCTCGTCAACCTAAGACACAGAATTATACCTTCGAAGCTCTGCCGGAGGTCTGTCCTGCATTCGGGCTCAATCGATCCCCTGCTTGCCAATTTGTCGCTCGACTTCGAAAATTCGAACCTCACATAGAAGACATGCTTGTTCTTGCCTCTACCACTTCCATCGAACTTGGCCTTGTCACCAAAGCCAATGCACCACTTTCTAGTGAACAGCAGGTAACAGACGTCTACACCCTTACCATGCCTGCAGATGACTCGAGACGAGCTCAGTTACCTCTTTCGTTGGAAGACCAGGACACATCACCTATCGGGCTTGCGCTTGATCTCTCAGCCAAAGAAGGCATCGTGAGCCCAATCCCTTCTGACCCTGAGATAGAACAGTCTCCAGGTCCACTTCCAAACATTCTCACATTGAATCATGTAGGTGTACTTTCTTCATGGTGGATTGTCTATGCAGACTCCATCCGCGAAAAGAAGACATACTCAGGCCTTGTTGTTAGTGGAGGCGCAGAGCAGGCGCAAAAACAGACCACGCCTCTACCAGCACAAACCGTCTCTCCACCGCCGTCCGGTTTTGGTCAGCCCACCTTTGGCCAGTCAGGCTTTGCTTCTCAACCGTCGTTTGCGAGACCGGCAACATCTACGTTTGGATCGGCATCTGAGACTAAGTTCGGCAGTCCAAGCCCGTTGAGTGGCGACAAACCATCTTGGACCAGCACTGGATTTGCTGGCAGCTCACCTCAAACTGCTTCGTCTGGGTTCGGACAGCCCGGATTTGGTACATCGACGCCGCTTGGTGGTATGAAGCCTGCACTGGGAGCACCAAGTCCTTTTTCGGGAAAACCTGCGTTCGGGCAACCAGCAGCCCCTACAATCATTCCTGATTCAGTAACCGCCTTTGGCCAGACGGGTGCTCTAGGACCTCAGAAGCTCAATCCTTTCGCTGGAGGAGGCTCGGCAAGCCCGTTTGGCGGAAGTGTGGGAGATGGAAAGGGCTTCGCTGCATTTTCCAACAAAGGAGGCTTCTCAGCTTTGGCTTCTAATCAAAGCGGTCCAGGCGGTCTCTTCGGGAAGACTGAGCAAAAGGACCCTGTCTTTCCACAGATGGAGCAGCAAAGCCCTTTTGCATCAAAGGCTGGAACAGCTGAGAACAAGCCGGGTTTCTCGGGTTTCGGCGCAAAGGATATATCTATTGGCTCAACGTTCAAACGTGACGAGACTTCGAGAGATGACATGTCCAAGCCAGACGACAGCGGAGGGCTCTCCTTTGGACTCGGCTTGGGAAGTGCTCTAGAACAAACGCAACAGGAAGCAACATCTGCAGAAAGCAAGGAGGAGGAGATGGACGATGATGGCACAGATTCTATCTCAACATCTCTCAGCCAGGACCAGCTCGCCCCACCACCATCAGATTCGAAGCCGCAAATGCCAGTAGTGACCCCTCCTTCTACCATATCCCAGCCGAAGACCACGCCTGCTCCTCCGCTCGCTGGCTTGTTTCCTACACACAATCAGCCAGGCACAACACCTGCAGCTGTGCAGAACAGTAAGCCTGGTTGGTCTTTCGAGCAAATTCCATCCACCACCCCGAAGGAAACGCCCAAAACAAAACCAGCAGTTACATTCCCTGGCCCATCTGACGACGAGGCTCAACCTCCAAAGATTAAGACCGAACCGTCGGAGAGCTCGCCAGCTGATCTGCACAACATCCCTGAGGCTCCTCTGCCTCCAGAACCAACGAGCAAATCTCGATTCATGCCGAGCGATACTCCAGACGCATCAGATGAGTCTAAGCTTTCGAATGACGACGCTCCTTTGCCACCGGACTTCGTCACTAAGAAGGACGACAGTACTTCAGAGGCATCTCACAACGGCCCGGCTGATGATGAGGCCGATGACCTCTCGTCAGATTTTGAAGGCAGCGTCGAAGACGAAACGCAGGAGATCAGTCCAGCAGAAGAGCCGACTGAGGACCAGGCCGAAGAAATTCAGACATCGCCTGAAAGTTCATTTGGTAGAGGACCTGAAGGTAGCGAGGAGACCAGTCCGGCGGGAGGTCTTTTCACAAAGGTGTCTACATCGAAACCTTCCAAGCTCTTCGGGGAGGTCACCACTGGGCCAATACTTCCGCCACCAGTACCACAAGAGAGCCCGCGATCTCCAAGCCCTATGCGGAACGTTGTTACAGCTGATGTCCTGAGACCCGAAGCATCACGCTCTGTCAGCGCTCCAACCCGTCCACATTCTACATCCGCGCTCGACAGACGGCGCGCAGAGTTGACCAAGTCTGCCCTGGCATCACAACCTATCAATGCAAGTGACATAAGGAACAAGGAAACCGACCGTACGGCAGCTGCAGAAAAAGCCAAAGCCAAGGCAGAGGCTGAAGCTGCACTGGAGTTGGAGGATGATGAAGATGAACGTCTTCGCGCCGAGCTGGCAGCGCCTCCATCCCCATCTGAGCGGTTAGAACCATTCGTACCTCATCAGCACCATGGCATCGATACCTCGAACAAATCGGGGATTCCAGGCCAGATTGAACGCCTCTACCAGGACATCAACTCTATGATCGACACTTTGGGTATCAATGCTCGCTCCTTGTCTGCGTATCTCCTGTATCAAACCAGCCAGGAACCCTACCAAGAGTGGCCAGAAGTGCTCAATTCTGAAACACCAAGAGACGCTCTGGATGGTGAATGGGTGTTGCAAGATGCCAACCGATTAGGCGAAGGCGGAGAAGTGCTCAATGCATTGCTTTTACGAAGTAAAATCGAGAATGCTTCGGCCAAATTCGAACAGTGCCACGATCTGCTCAACCGAGATGTGATGCAACTTCGGATGAAGTTAACCGCAACTCGCAAAGCCTTGCACGCCAGTGCAAACGCACCAGGCAGAACATCTGCTCCCCTATCCGCTGAGCAGGCAAATCTACAGCATGACTTGCGCAAAGCGTCGTTGTCGGTGCAGAGCAAGCTCGCTGAGGCTGAGCAGGAACTTACCGTCTTGCGAGCCAAGTTGGCCGAAGCGAGACCGTCGCAGCAAAATGGCACGAATGGCACAGGGAAGGGAATGTTTGGGAGATCAGGTGCGCAGAAGAAACCAACGGTTGAAGCCGTGACGACTACCATAGCCAAGATGACTTCGATGGCTGAGAAGAAGAGGACGGACATCGATATGCTTGAGGCACAGTTGAAGAGTTTGGGCCTCCGGTCTGATGATTCTCTTGCTAGCAGTCGCCACGGGTCGGTCGAGCCGAATGGGACACCACCGCGTGGGAGCATCGGGCCGGGAACGTCTGCATCAAGACGGACGCCATTGAGTGTTGCTGGAAGTGTCTACCACACACCTGATTCTAGACTCGGCGAAAGCCATAGAAGTACACCCATGACAGGGCGACGAAGCCTACGTGCCAGCGTTGATCACAATGGAGACTCTGAGCGATGGAAGGAGAAAGCCCGAAGGAGGAAAGAAGTTCATCGTTTGCTTGCCGAGGCGTTGGCGGAACGAAGAAAGAATGCTCGAACAGCAAGGGCGTAAAAGACTGGACGAAATCAGTAAGCATTGGAAGGAGGGCACAACCTCGTCGTTGTATATCTGAATGTACGAATGTAATATGCCTAAATCGCCCCGAAAAGATGCTCCAGCGCGGTGCCAAATTCGATTGTGTCCAGTAAACCATTACTTGATCATGTCCAATCCCGGGCAGTCTGCACTCTTGCGAGCTACTACAGTAGGAGGCATAAGTATTGTCAACGTGAGCTAGTGATAGCTAGTTTTGATACAAGGGTCCGGCGTCCTCCAGAGCCATTGTAAAGCTGGGCCCCTCACTACTCATGATTATTGGTTCTGCTCTGAGAACTGCCCAGGCTAACCTTAATTCAGTAAAGTCGACATTCGTCAAAGCTGTGTAAAATACAGGATTTCTAAGCTTCCAGCTAACAATACGGAGTACTTGTGCCTCCTACTACTGTTGTATGCTGTAGTCAGTACCTACTAGTAGTAGTGATCATGATGCCAAGAGGCTTGACCGGACTGGGCTTAGTGGGGTCAAATTCAATATGTGCGCGTGGTGGAGCTTTCTTCCACCTCCCCAAGTAGTTTCTAGTAGGTAAACGCAGTTCAAGCAGTGTGCTTGCCCTACTAGTACCACAGCAACATCTTCTTGCCTGCCAGACATCAGTATCCCTGACTCGCCTGGATTCTTCCTCATCATCCAAGCACGTCTAAGCACGCCCAAGCACGTCCAGGCACCACTGGCAGCCCTGACGAGCCCAGGGAATCCGAAGCAAACCGTTGCTTCAGTAAGCTAAGTTGAGATCCCACCTCTCATCCACCCTGTCAGAACAGAATCACAATCACGGCGTTGCTTTGTTCAACCCAGCCTGACCTCCTACCTCTGTCTATCAAATCCCCCCATCCAGCACTTTCTCGCTGCAGACCTTCGAACCCTACGCTACCACTCTTCAACACCAAGCTCGCCTCGTCCGCTCCATCGAACCCTTTGTCATAGCACCTCTCTTCGCGTCCACCTGTCACAGCACTAGCATTCTGCCTTCGAGACATTTGTCGAGATCGCGATCATCTACCTATCCGACCCCAACCCTTCACTGTTCGTGCACCTACACCAGCAAGTTTTCCTTGGAAAATATTGGTGTACATAAAAGAAATCCAATAAGAAAACATTCATCTGGCCAGATATACCAGCTTCCCCAGTATTTTCCACTGTGTTGAGACCTGGCATCCGGCATAATGTCTGCTTCACCCACTTCGGCAGTTTTGCCTTCCTCCAAGCGTCCACTCGAGGATCCTTCTTCGCCATCTGGACCCACTGACCTGCCCGACGCCAAACGCCCCGCACTTGACAAGATAGTCAAGGAAGACGACCATGAAAAAGGCACTATCGAGGAACCTGCTGGCAGTGCTGTAAAGGAAGAAGACGTCAAAATCAAGAACGAAACGGCTGCCACTACGAATGGCGCGAAAGACGTTCATGGCGACACCGTTGTGCTCGACGCACCAGAGGGTGCATCTCACATTCCCACCATCGACACGCAGCCCATACAGTCAACCGCTTCGCATTCTGAGCGAGCCACCTCCCACCCGCCGCCAGGAATGCCTCCTCAGGACGAAACTAACTGGATCCATGTCCGAGCCGTCATATCGAGCGCAGAAGCTGCGACTTGCATTGGTAAGGGAGGAGAGAATGTGTCGATGATTCGCCGTCTCTCCAATGCCAAATGTACAGTCAGCGACTACGCAAGAGGCGCAGTGGAGAGAATCTTGACCGTGAGCGGTCAGCAAGATGCTGTAGCTAAGGTATGTACTTCTCCAGTGTCACGACGCCGAGGCTGATAGAATGTAGGCATTCGGTCTCATCATCAGGACCTTGAACAACGAACCTCTCGAAGCACCTTCGACAGCTCAGTCAAAGACCTATCCTCTGCGTCTGCTGGTACCCCACATCCTCATCGGATCTATCATTGGCAAGTCGGGAGTCCGCATCCGTGAGATTCAAGAAGCATCAGGTGCTCGACTGAACGCCTCTGACTCGTGTCTTCCGCTCTCCACGGAGAGATCTCTTATCATCCTCGGCGTTGCGGACGCTGTACATATTGCGACTTACTACGTTGCTGTGACGTTAGTAGAGCAGCTGACCGAACGCTTTGGCGGACCGGCAGCATCGGCATATGCCACTCGAAGCGGCGGCCCAGCTGGTGTGGTTCCGGGAGGTATGCAGGTGGTTCCGTACGTTCCTCAGCCCGCAGGTGGTCAGTATGGCCATCCAGACACCTACAAACGCCATCACCAACCGCAACCTGGTCGTACGCCTGGCCCTGGTTATGGTCCACCACAAATGCATGCGCCACAACAACCATATCCTCAGCAGCCCGGAGCAGCGGCCATTCACTATGGTAATTCTCCGCGTCAAGGATACACCGGCGCTGGCCCACATCAACCGGCCCCCTATCCACAGCAACATGTGCAAACAGCGCCCCATGGGCAACCTGCTCAGCCAATCGCAGGTGCTGCCTTGCCTGGTCAGCCACTAACACAACAGATCTTTATCCCGAACGATATGGTTGGGGCTATTATCGGCAAAGGCGGCGCCAAGATCAACGAGATCCGCCATTTGAGCGGTAGTGTGATCAAGATCAACGAGCCACAGGACAACAGCAATGAGCGTTTGGTGACGATCACAGGGACGCAGGAATGCAACCAGATGGCTCTGTACATGCTGTACGCAAGACTCGGTACGTCCAATGCCACCCAGTGAAAGGCGCTGTGGAGGATATCTGGGTTCCCCGGCTGATGATGTATGTAGAGAATGAGAAGCACCGGCAATGAAGCAGCGAGCTAGGGAGGAAACGTCATCTCAAACGGGACGGACGGTGGTCTGCGTCACAGATTGAATCATCTTCATTGCTGAATATTTCTTTGCCAACAATCGGCCGGGGCTGCACAAAGGGGCGCTTTGACCACGTGACTGATGCTCACTGCTGGCTTCTCGGTCTGCCAACACATCAATGAGAATAGACAGGCTGTCTTATCCTCTTCTACACTCTGCCATGCCTACATTGCTTTCTTCTTTGCTTGCTTTCGACCGCACTTTCGTTCTATCCTGCTACTTGCATGTTTTCTTCACTATCCTTTGTCCGGCCGCAAGCGTTCGATCAGGGCAAACAGAAATAAACACTGCAAACAGACAAAGAACTCCCTTCGCAACTGCCCAAATTCCCAATTTGACGATGGCAACAACGATACGTGCTGATTGTCCTGCACATGCTTGTTTGCATGCTGCATCGTCACAAGGAATCGCCCATAGAATTGTACTTCTCACCTACAGATTTGAGCATTCTGTCACTTCCATTGTGACATGTCATTGTCAAAAAGACGAACCGCCTGTGTCCATTCTTCCTCAGTGGCACCGCAGAGTGAGTGACGCACTTGGCCAAAGAGTGGTCCTACATCATCCTGGCAATAACTCTATTAACTATTTTTCTGTCAAGGTCATTGAGCCACTTCTGGCTGTCGGTGTCTACCATCGCCCAGCACCTTGTGGCATATAACGAACTTGCTAATCGTCTTTGTTCGTGGTGTTATCCTTGTTCCATCCTTCATATCTCTAAGAGGTTCGCGATCATGCCTGGCCTTGCAGTTGACATTGCAAAAGAAGATAGTGGCTATGTCAGCTCCTCTACCTCGACCCTCGTAGACGGTGAATCCAGATCTGGCGGGATGAACACTCGTGCAGCCATGGCTGACTCGGCAGCCTCGGGTGGAGATCAGTATCGTTTGGAAGTATTATCGACAAGTCCATCAACCGACAAGTTCAATGATGGCCTTTCCTCCTACCACATTTCATCGCCAACACCCCTCCACAACTTCCCACCAGATCACGACATCTCACCCTTCAGCACTCCTCCCGTGCTATTAAGGGTGGGCGGTGCAAGCTCTCCATCGAGAGAGACAGAACCAGTATCCTTCTTTGTGCATGAAAAACTCCTCACCAAAGCCTCGGCCTTCTTCCGTGCCGCTCTTGCTTCCCGTAGCCACCACATCAAGAACTCATCATCCGCTCCTCCAAATTATTCTGGGCACAACTTCCTCGAAGCCCAAACCCGCACCATCGAGCTCCCCGAAGACCGACCCGACGATGTCCGCTTCTTCCTCAAATGGCTGTATTCTGGTTTTGGTGCGGGCGTCTTTCCAGCAAAACCGAGCAATCCCACGACGTCTGTGAAGGAGCCGAAGACGACACCCTCTTCACCCGAGAGGCCCACCGCTGCCTGTCCAACCACGAAACTGAATTCGCAAATCCCACACACCACCCTTTTCACCCCACTTACGACCCGCTCCCTCCGCCTCCACAGCACCTATAATCGCGAGCGCCGACTCCTCACCGCCGCAAAACGCCACGGCAACATCACCCGCCGCAAAACGCCTAAGCGACATCCCCCAGCTCTTGCCCTCCCGTCCGCCACCACCGGCCTTCGGTCCCCTTATCCGCCTTTATGTGTTTGCGGATAAATACCAGGTTGGTCTGGGGTTGAAGGATCTCATCTGTGATGTAGTGGGAGAGGTGGCGGCGGGGTGTAATGCCGTGCCTGGGCGTGGGGATGTGGAGATGCTTTGGCAGGGTCTGCCGGAGGGGAAAGTGTTGAGTGGATTGAAGAGGTTGGTTGTTGAGATGTATGTGGGGATGAAGACTGAGAGGTTGTTGAAGGGGGAAGGGGAGGGGCAGGGGGAGAAGAGGCCGGGTGGGATGAGGGATTTCTGAGGGACTTGATCGGCGCTCTTAAGGCGGGAAGGTTGGAGGGGAGGAGGAGGGCGGGAAACGAGAATGGAAAGAAGGATGGGGAGGGAGATGGAATGGTCAAGGTGGGAACGCTATTGAGGCATAGGTGCGATTATCATGACCACCATCTCTAGAATGCGCTGTAGGGAGATATTCTCGCGGCTGGAGGAGCTCTCACAAGCCCTAAACCCTTTCACGGCACAATCATGGTGCAATGATCTCGCCCTTGAATCTCATGTTGTGCAACGCTTGGTATTCCATCGGACAGTACAGGGGAAGGGACCCAGCCCAGCAGTCGAGGGAGATATGACGGACGATCATGAACCGATACCCACTTTTCGCACAATCGCGAACCGCCCGGTCCTGCTAGCTGCTTTCTCTGGTAGAGAGGACTACGCTGATGTTAGAGGCGGGTATGTTGCATGGTCCAGAAATATGTGTTTGTTGGTTTCTATGCCGGTAGAATTGGAGTCGGAGCTCTATGGGTATGAGGTTCTGAGGAGCATTACCGGTCTACTACTAGTAAATCTCGGTGTTATTTCATCCCCTTCCATCCCCGGACGACTAGTACTTACCAGGAGAAGGGGTAATAAAAAATATGGGCTAAGTGCCATTCGTGGGAATGGCAACTATTCTGTCAAATAAGGACCATATTAGTATGATCAGAGAGGCATATTTGACTATAGTAAGACCATATTTTAGACCAATAATGTTGTAAATAATGAAATCTCATTGGATTACAGATGCCTTAGTTATATATCTTGGTATACTCTACGTAGTGAGCAATCTTACGGTTAGGCTAACTCTAAGCGCACTTTAGCCGCTCTCTTACCATTTTTTCAAGTGGGCTTCTTCCTGCTAAGTAGTACTATGTCGGTAGATAGATGTCTTGTAGCGTCTTAGCATTGATATCACATGTCTAATAGTACGATGAGACATGTCTGGATAGACTCGAATGTTAAACATGAGGTTCGTAATAACCGGTGTTTTTGCCCTATCTACTGGTCTTTTCTTGATATGCTTCCACCTTCTCATACTTGAGTAATGATATCCATTCATTTACTGTTCTGCTTGTCAAGGCTGTAGGATTCCGAACACGGACGCGGAAGATTGAATCATGCAGTGATGGATGAGCGAGCGATTCTCCTTGCCAAGCCTCACAATCATGTATCAGCACCTGCTGGCATTCCTGACAAGCTGTCATGATGGAATCAAATTTACTTTCCTTTGCTAGCATCGAAAGTGCCAGCGCTCAAGTCATAGATTGCAGACTCGTGGGTCTGAGCCCCCGACTTCACCAATATCCATTCAGCATTAATTGTTCGCCTCCAGTCTACAGTGTCCAGTCTCAGCAACCAGTCTGGGTGGGCTGAGGTGCGCGTGCACCGCCTGTAAAGGGTGGGCCAAATCTATCAAGATCCAGTACTGGTCTAGCCTCGACTTCCTTTAGCAACCGTCGTGCCTGAGCTATCTCACTTTCCTTGAACACTTACGCGTATCTGGCAATCGCAATTGAAGCTTTCGGACGACAGCCTCCTCCTTTACCTTTTCTCTTCCAGCCTTACTCGTGTCGTCTCCAGCCTCTCCTGAGCCGTGTCCAATCCTGGATAACCTCCGCCAACTTGCATCTACATATGTGGTGGAGCCTACCAGAAATAGCATGAGGTTTGTGATTCTCTGATTAGCACATGCGTTTTCGCCCGATGCTGGCACATATCCCTATGGTCGATGAACCACCTTTCCGATGTCTAATGCATGGTTACCTACCTGACCAGACGACGCTGGGGTAGTGTTGCTCTATCAGTAATATCTCTGCTGATCACCGAAAAGCTACAACCGATGTGCGAAGCAGAATGTTGTCTGTCCATGTCACTTGGCTGTGCAATAGCCCCTCCGATCAATGCAAGTTGCGTCAGACGGTACAATCGGACCTAGATTACCTTCGTTACCGCGTATTACAGCAAGACCTTATGACTGGAGAGCACAATACTGGGGTGGAAGATGCAGGAGGCGGAATATGATCTATTGCAAAGAATCTGCATTTTTTTCTCTTCAGAGAATCTTGTGGCTTCAAAGCTGGGATACGACTGACTTCAAGTTCAGCAGTACGCCACGGGCATACTGGACCACTCTCGAGCCAACCCTGGGAGTTGTCAACGCTTGTCTTCCCCTTTATGAAACCAGCACTGAGGAAGATCATCAACAAGGACAAGTTCATGTTGTCTAAAATCTACAGCACGCAATTCTTTACAGAACGTCGATGGTTTCATGGGTCCGCGAGATCTTCGAGCCACAAAGGAGGCTCGGGGAAGAACCACTTCCGGCGCCTGGGTGATAACCCTATGCCGCTCGTGACGGAGCCGGAGCTGCACCATGTGAGGAGTGCTGAGCTGCTCCCAAGTTCTTGAAACCCCAAATTGCAATGTGTCCACAGATTCATCATTTAATCGTTATGCTCTTGCGCTCACAATTTCTGAGCCAGGCCAATGCAGGTGGGTCTTCAGCCTCATTCGGAGACACAAAGATGCCGATTCTTTCGAAATGCTCGTCCTTCGGCACCAGAGCAAGACCACCTATAACGATCTTATACAGAGTGTTCGCAAAACACAATGGCTTTCCATCTGGATCTTTTCCATACACAATGATGCACGGCACGAGGTACACGTCCGAAGGCCGTTCGGTGAAGGATATATCTGGCATGAATGTCCCGACACATTCCTGCTCGTAGGTGAGGATGTGACATCTTCCCAGTTTGGCATCAGACCCTTCCATATCTTTGAAACACTCAACCTTCCTGATACGACCAGTTATCTTCAGAGTGCCATCAAACACCCGGCCCGTGCCACTCTTATCCAGAGGATGGGTTTTTGTCTCAATGGTGTTGAATTCAACAACTCTCATAACTACATCTGTGCATCTCTTCTGTCTTCGAGTTGGAGAGAAGACGGAATCCAAGAAATCACCAATGGTTCCATCGGCAGCGGCCCACGACCAAGTAGGTGCGCGGTAGGAAGTAAGTCGCTGTTTTTGACCTCCCAGAACATACCAGAGTAGACCTGCGGGAAGGCACTCGCGCCAAAGGCCTGCATGGTACTCAAAACCTGTGTGCCGCTGAATCCTTTGTACAATTCCAGAAAGAGCGGGAAGCTTATCCTCGGACTTTGTGAGATCTAAGCGAGAGTAGTGATGGACCATTGAGCACCATCTGGACGGAAAAATCATCTCAAATTCGGTGCGTGGGCGCTCATTGAAAGATTCTAGGAGCCCTTTGAGGTTGACGTGCTCCTGTCGGTCTTCCGAACGTTGACACCCAAACCCAATGGATTCACCTTCGAATTGGAAGATCCTTGCAACAGCGGCTCCTTGCGGATCCTCCCTATCACGATGCCAAGCCCATCCCTTGGGATTCAACTCTGTGGCTTGACCTTGGCTGCAGCTCCAGTACATGCCTCGCTGGCCGAAGTAAAGCACTCTTCTCGACAATACTTTCTCCTGAAACACCCAACCCCGGTACTCATGTGCGCAGTCTCGTGTCACCTCTGCGAATCCAAAATTGGCCTCCTCATAGTCGGCATACACGCACCCGAACTCGTTGGCGACTATTCGGCATGGGAGGTACCGTAGTGGATCACGTTTGATAAAACAACCGCTGTGTGAGTTTTTGGCTCCAGCTGCAGCGATTGTGACAACGGCACTCTCATACACGTCGCACATTGCCTCTGCTTCCTTGATCCAATCTTCTTCAGAGTCCTGAATAATGCACAGCGAGTCGATCCAGATATACGCGAACCCCAAGTTTCGAGTAATTGTGACCGCATCCCTGAATGTTGTGGGAAGATCCGCTGTGGATACACCCTGCTCCAGAGCTTGCATAGTGGTGGAGCGCAAGGTTAGGATATCTGTCACGCCTCCCCAGCAGTGACTGAGAGCGCAATATTCAAAATTCATAGGTTGACCGCTATTCAACCACAGGCTCACCTTGTCGCCATCTCCGCCAACAAAAATCAGACGCGACGGCTTTTTGTCAGTGTTCTTACTGACGCAGTTCCTGTGCCTCTGGCGACAATCGTTCAGCCAGTTATTGGCCAGAGCAACATGAGCAATGGATGAGGTGCTGAGGCAACAATGAGCTAAGTCGGGCTCTTCATCTCCTAGTTCTTCAAGCCTGCCTAAAATCATGTCAGAATCTGACGCACAGCACGCGAGTATTCTGTTCTTACCCATGACGGACCGACAGCGTAATACTTTGGCCGATTGTGGAATGGGAGATGGATCTGTGCAATATGGGCCACGATAAAGAGATATCTTGAGGTTTCCTTTAGGTATCTTTGCGATTCGAAGCCGGTATTCTTTATTCGTATTGTCTCCGTTCCATGATTGCACATCGGACCGCTGTAGCAAGAGGCTTATTTGAGTACAAAAGTGGCATCTCGATTCGGCCGACAGCATGAGACTCTCCAAATCCGAATGAAGGAGCCAGTCTTCGACCTGTATAAGCTCTTCTTCTTGCTCTACAGCGGCAGAAGTCGAGGGTTCTCCCGGGTCTTCAACATCACCGCTTTGAACAGGAGAAGGATCTTCACTGAATTTCTTCACAACTGACTCAATGGCCATATTCAGTGGACTTTTTATCAACTGTTCCTCCAGCTCTTGCGTAGGGTCTTTCCAAGGCCCTGTGATCGCGTTGGGCCCATTAAGAATCTTGGACCGTTGAAAGATGTTTGAGCAGTACCAACAGGTGGTATTCAATGCAGTGGCGTCATACTTTTCAAAGAAATCGACTCCACATGCGGCTGTTACAGTCTCGGAATCTTCATAGAACATCTTGAGGAGGTATAATCTTTCCGGTCGACCCCAGGTCTTGTCCAGCATGACATTCGAGGCATCTCTGAATCTCACCATCTTGGAGACTGAAATTGAGCAGCGTGAGGAAGTGCTAAGCTGTGCCGAGGAACTTAGAAGTTAAGTCCAGCAAGATTGAAGAAGCAGTAAGGCTGCAGACTGTTCAATTGAAGGGCCCTTTTGGAGGCCATAATTTGTCGCTTTAAAAATACCTAGCTGATGAGGTCGTTGTGGGACAAGCTTCGAGAAAGGCGAATTCGTGAGGTGTGTTGGCTACTACTCACTCACCTGGACGTGTTGTGTGGCGCATGTCATGTGGAGACGGAAGTTGCGGAGATAGCGTGTGGCGCGCGCGTAGACACGTGACCGCAGGCGCAGGCGCAGGCGCAGGCGCAGGCGCGAGCTGTAGGCAGCCATGTACGAGAGCGTCAGGCGCCAGCGAGGTGGCAACAGTCGAAGCGAGGGAGTGGATATATAAAGGCCGTTGATATCCGTAGGCAGATAGGTTCTGTAGAGCGCCTTGCCTGCGCGTACAGAGAGTCAAGTTCGTACGCCAAAGTTCAACAGTCTTTAGTCTTGCCCTGACCCGCTTTTCATACAGTGAGCCATGAGCAGGAGGATCTCGAAGAAGTGGCTGAGCTCCAGGCAGTACGCTTGGCTAAAACGTTGATAGAATAAAGTGAGCTCAGCTGTTGTAGCCGAGTCTGAGAGCCCAAAAGTGGGCCCCAGTTGGACCAAAACCGGGACTCAGTCACAGGGGTGCTCAGGAGCGCTCAGTCTCGGCTCAGTCTCGGCTCAAGTTAAAGCAGCGCCGCTCAGGTCTAGAAACGGAACGGGCACTTGGTGAGGTCAGTTGTATTCTTTCCAGTCTACATCCTAAACTCTAGAAGTTGATCAAAAGGATGTCTCATGGGAACTAAAGTGCTAGCTGTCACCAGGAAGACTGGAAGAGAAGTAAAGACTTTGATTGAGATATAGATACGTTTCGACTATGAGCAGGTACTGAGTGATGACTTTGCTTGGGGTTGCTTGTTTTTGATTTTCAAAGGAGTGACATTTTCTGGAAACGGGTCGATGGTGGTCTGAAGGCCCGCTCCACCTCTGGCTGCATTTCAAGTATGCACCAACATTACAATTTGCCATTTCAGTCTCATTTTCCTCAGAGCTCTACGTTGATCGTGAGCTGCCCCAGGTGGCCATTGACAATATCATCGGCGGTTGGTTTGGGGCCCAGAGGAATGAGGTCCCACTGCTGATTCGGCTCACTCCGCTTTGGGTAGCTATAGATTGGCACCTCGTTTCCAGTCTGGCCTCGATACAAATCAATGTAGTTGCATGGATAGGCAATATTTTCGAAGCTGTTGCTCGCAGTCAGGTTTGCTCTATAGTGGTGCAACACCAGAAGTACGTGCGATAACAGAGAGAAGAGAAAAGCAGTACGTACACCACAGAACCGCTCTCTTGAATTTTGATGTTCCACAGCTGGGTCTTATGGCTTGTGAATTTGGTGGCCGAGATACGTTGGGGAACTGTAGAATGACTCAGTCATGATCCATGCCAACAAAATCAAAGAGCCAATTTGCTCCTATGTATTTCTTTGGGATTTTGGATGTGAGACGTACCTCCATTGGAAGTAATAGCGTCGAGTGTCCGGTTGTTTTGAATGGCGAATGATCCACAGGCACCATCCACACTCACAAGGCTGATCTTCCACACCTGGTTTTGAGATTCGAGATTCCTGACAAGTTGTTTAGTACCATTATTGCAAAGCGAAGTGAAACAAGGAGCATACGCGCGATATCCGACGATCTGGTCTCCTCCATGCAACAAGTCAATACCAGTCTTGCTAGCAACGTTGATAATCTGGTAGATTCCAGACCCTTGCCAGCCTGAGGCGACCTTTGGTTGGATATCGCCCTTTGGTTGGATACCGCAGGAAGCGGCATTGGTGCTCAGGATCAGCACTGCTGCTGACAACAAAGATTGGAAGAAATGCATCGTGATCGGATTTGTGCTGAAGTTGTAAAGGGGAGAGAGGAGACTCTAGAGATGCTTTAGGTAACGAGGTCAAAGGAAATTGTTATGCTCTTCCAACATAGCGGAGTTTATGTGAGTCTTTATAGACTCTTGCTTTCCCAACTATCTCATTCTTTCGTCAATTGCATACTTCCAACTCAGAGAAATGAGGGGTTGAGACATGATCTACAGCATAATATAAAATGCAGTATAACATGATATTGCATGATGAGCTCTTCGGATCAGACCAACCACGGATCCCAATAAGCTATGCACGAGCATAGACTATATAGCTCACAGACGATATGCAGTATGCGAGAGGTGCTTTTATGCAGTGAGCATCATATTCCGAATGCACGTGACATACACAGGCCTGTATGGGGACACTGGAACAGAAATATGTCCCACCCAATTGGCAATCCATGCTGACTGACGAAGACTCCAGCAGACTCCGAATGTGAGACAAAATGATCGACGTCGTGCGACAGAAACGAGGCGCCCGATGAGGGAGAGATGAGAGTGTGAACAGGATACCTGCGGGCAAGTATATTCGGCACAGGCATCAATCGGCACTCATACCATTGGACACAGGCACAATCGGCACTCATACCCACTGGACACAGGCATCAATCGGGCATAGATACCTTTGGGTATTACAACATAGAGGAACACATATATGGTGGGATCGGTACCGAACAGTACTGATAAAAAAGCTATGTCATACACGCTCTCATCGGCAACGCAGGGCTCTAAGATGGCGGGGAAAAGTCTTCACGGAGATGGACGGAAGTGGAAAAGGCCAAAATCTCCGATTTTCGACCATGGGAAGATTTAGGGGCTGATTGTGGGCCACCTTGCGCCGACTCGGAGGAGGCCAAAGACGCTGTCGGACGCGTAAAACTAGTTGTAGATGACTTTCGTTTGATCATCGCCGATTACTATCAATTTGTCAAAGTACATGCAGAGATCCAGCTTCTCTTTTTCTATAGGCTGAATCCAGGAAGGTTACGACCAAGGGTAATATGTTCTACCAAGAGTATATGTTAGCTTTGTAATCTTTTCTTCAAGCTTCATAGTTGATTCTATATTCCTAGGACTTATAGCTGTCTATTATATTGTAAATAGACTTTGCTAGACCTAATATATTTCGCTACCTGAAGTGCACTCTTCTTGAAATCTACTTTTTTATTTCACGTATATTTCAGCCAAAATAATTTCGTTTCAAGACTCTCGGCGACCCCTACTCTTGGGACCATGAGGCATTGTGAGAGGAGAATTACTACTACCTGGGGGGTTGTCAGAAATGATGTTAGTCTGGTGCTAGGAGCAGCTAGTGCTCATTACGAGTAGGCTGCTACATGGTCCGAGCCGGTCCGAGCCCTAGGGGGGGCAGGCTCGGACCACTCTCATCCAAATTCTGAAAAATCTGGGCTCAGACCGCACAAAATATATGGTAAGGTCAGGGTGGGCTCGGACCAAAGCTCGGACCGGACCAGACCATGTACCAGCCTAATTACGAGGACACGGTGTTATGATTCGTCACTGAAAAGCTTGTTCTGCGTGTATCCATCTCACTAGGAGAAGGGTAGCTAAAGATATAAGCCAAGTGCCGTTATTTACTGTGCGTTGCAAAATTCTTACGAATTCCTTAATGTTACCCTCGAATTGGTGGCGCCGCGGGGCAAAAATTTGCGGCGAGAGCAGAGGATGGTCATTTACCAAGCGTAATAGAATGATAACATAAGGTGAGATGGGAAGGCTCAAAAGCAGAAATCCTCCACTTTCGCTAAGTTATGTGTTCAGTGTATCATTTCGCTTTACTAAATGAAATCCTTCACGCTGCAAAGCATTTGAAGTTTAAGACTCGATTGAAGTGAACAAGCTCTGATGTGATTTCCATCATTCCATGGTGGGAATGTCGTAGTGTTATTCAGAGCTTATTCAAGCGTGAGACTACTCGACTCCGAAATAAGATCTGTGGCTTCCCCATGCATGATACCATGCACGTAGGCTTCCCCAAGGAACTGATAATGGCCGTTCTCGAGTCTGCGTAGGACGACGGGAGTGTTTGCCCCAGCCAGAATCCAAACTTGATCTCCCTTACACATATACGTTGTACTCGGAATGTTCTGGCTCCGCGTCAAAGAGTCGACGCCACGGTCCCGTGCGTTGGTCGAGGTCTGCATCGGTCTTGCCCTGGAAAGCCTTTTGGAACCGCTGGTTAATCTGGTCTTTCCATGAGCGTGCATGGAGAAACCCCCGGGGATCACGCCTTTCTTGTCTTTTAATAAGCATTATCTTACCTACAAGGCAACTGACATGAGCCATAAACTGTTCGACACAGTCGTCGGGTGCAGGGTGTAGACCCTTGTAGGTGTCCGCCACCAAAGTCCTCCACAGTACCTCGGCTCTGGATGGGCATTCCTTTGCATCCCTATGAAATGCTGAGATTAGTATCATGGCTCGACATAGGACCATTGCTGCATGGAGTTCTGTTTTTGCCTGTGCTTGAAGTTAATGGATTCAAACGCTTGCCCGCCGCCATCTGGCAACATGCGCATGTAATTAGGATATCGGTTTCAACTCACTGGACCTCGGGGAGAGAGTACGGCACGGGTCAACCATTGGCAACTTCACAGACACCTGCCTAAAACATATGCAGGTCTTCCTCGCCTAGACGAGTTGGATCTGCTGCCGTCGCTTCGACTGCTCCAACGGACATGCCCTGCACCTCTAGCAGTCTGTCTTCGAGGTCTCGATCGTCTTGCCTCCATTTGATTGCACCGGAAGCGCACCAGTTGCAGTTCGGCCCCCTTTTATAGAGTGGTTTAGGCATTAGCTCAACGCTGTAATCAGGAACCCATGAAGGCAGTCCAACAATTCGAGTACGGGATTGCTGCTCTCTCTGGGCGAGAAATCCCAAGTCGCCCCAGGCTCGAAGCAATTCTTTAGCTGTCCGAGTGTAGAGTTGCTGAACAGAGATTCGATAATCGATATCTAAGAGCTTAGGTTGGGTATCGAACGGCCTGCGAGCCTTTCGCGCCACTCCCTGGAGAGCATAAACCATGCCACGAGGATCACTGCTTTTGCAGTATCGGTGGTTTGAAAGAAGCTGCGCAAAATTCCACTTCTTTCCAGACTCTCTTACCGCATCTCTCGCGTGAAACAAACCCCACGCGCTTTGTCCTGAATCAAGTTTGCTCTCGATAAGCCTTGAATAGACTCCCACATTATCTGTCAACCTCTGGTTGAATCGCATTTGCTCGCTGTGGAGCAGTATGCCCCATCCACTATGCACCACGAAGCGTAGCGCAGCCGACATTGTGGACCACGGAAACACTCTTGAGCCGCAGAGAAACAGAATGTCCTTTGCGAAGAAAATCTCCTGCACAACCCAAACTCTGTGTCGAACGTTGCTGACTAATCAGGAGAATAGAATCTGAATAGCAAGTTTTTCTATCTAATTGACCGCGCAAGGAGAGCCTATTTATACATACCAAATTGCTATATCAAACTGCCAATCCATGCGAAATAGCGCGAAACGTCAATACTAAAATTACATGTTAATTCGAGGCGAAACGCGTAACAAATCTGTGATAAAACGCATTCAAAACATCGCACAATACGCCACCGTTTGATAACCAGCAATTCATCGAAGACGCGCAGAATCCAGTAGCGTTTGTTGCAGCGCTATATATCACGTGACATCCGGTCCACACTCTGGCGAAGTAGGGGCGATGCATGAAAGCGACCCACGCTAGCCAATGTTTCTGCGTCAAGGGCAAAATTCCGAGCTTCGAGGCGTAGATTTCTGGCCTCCAAATGTCTTCCATGCTGACACAGCTGTATAGGTCGGGCGATATGGTGGAGAGATTCTCGATAACTACGAACAAATCTGACGTTGTTTCGTCCTCTGGTCCCAACCACGAGACGACCACTTCGGCTTGCTGATAGATTTGGTCCATCAGACGCACTTGGGCGGCACGTTCTGCCAAATTTGTCTGGTCGATGCATATTGCATCAACCCACAGATATCGGGATTTGATTTGGCCGACGGCTGAAAAGTCAAGGCTCTGGAGCATCCTCAATGCATCTCTCAGATTTTCATGAACGAGGAACGGCTTGCCGTTGCAATTCACGACAAAGGGTGCAGCGATGGGTGAGACGCTTCCACGATCTGGCCCAATGTATGGCAAGGCTGGACTTCCCCATGTATATGACAAAGCATCATAAGCCGGTGCAGTCTCCAGCTCGGTCGTGAATAGTGTGAAACAAGTGCCACCATCTGCCAGTGGTGGATGGAGTTCCAACAAGCGAACGGAGCGAGCTGTAGGAAGGGAAGTATAGCTGAACTGATTTGCCGTGTTGATAGAGTCCGGTCCCAATTCCATCCTGGTGCAGATTCTGGGCCTTCGATAGACTTGCGGCAGATCACGGACGAGCTAATGTGGTCATGGTGCAGCGCTGCTAATCATAAAGACGGCTGATTGCTGGTCGTCTCCCATAGCTGAAGGGGGAGAACTTGTTGAACTCCATGGGGGCTGATTGGTTGATTTTGGTTCATTCTCCTATCTAACCTGCCTGTTCGTTGTTGGCCAGTTTGGCACGCAATCTCGGCATTGGGCATGCTACTTAGCAGGAAGAGACCCTCTTAAAACACGTAGTTAGAGAGTACAAGGATACACAGCTTGGTCGTCTGTAATCCAGTCAAATCTTCTTATCTACAACGTATTTTGCTTCACCGCTAGTATCTTTACATGTCAGCCTACTCTGTACAGAGCAGCTATGCTCAAAGGGAATTAGCTGTAATGATACATACTCCGACGTCACCGATGATCGCCCGCGCCGTACCTAGACCGGTGTTCGTGTTACCGCTTGCATTTGGAAAAGCAGACAGCCTCCTTTGCTCACCCAAAGCCGCGCTCAAAAGAATGCCACTTATAATCAATCAGAGCGATTCATAAATCTTGAACGAGTAATCAAAAGTGTCTAGGCGGTTATTGTACGCGGCAATCAGTTCTGGGACGCTGTTTTGTGCGTATTATGGATCAGCAGGCCAAGTCTCCACCGTCACGACCCCGTCTTCACCCAGCGACCTCCTCATCTCCCCCTTGACATTCTCATCCATCTCCCAGCTCGTCTCACTACCAACCCAAACCTTGAACCTCCTCTTCCCCATTCCATCCACCTCCCCACTAACCGGCGGATCCCTCAATTCCTCACCCGCATCAAGAACCTCAACAATCAAAGCACTGAACCCTTGGAGCTGCAGACCCATCTTCAATGACAGTCCTTTCAGGTCTGGCATGTTCTGCACACCTCTCGCGATGGCGCTGATCAAGCTATCGACGTGCGGAGCGTCCAGCTGCGTACGCCAGTTATGACTGGGGATGTCGCCGTTGAGGAGAGCTTCGCGGCGGGCGTTGAAGGAGTCTGGGACTAGGGAGTCGGTGCTCGCATTTGAGTTGGAATCAGAGTCGGAGTCGGATTCGGAGTCAGAGTCGGAGTCGGGATCGTCGGCTCCTCTAAGTTCGTCGGTATTGATGGGTACAGAGGCTGGGTCGCCGGTGTAGTACCACGTTCCTTCTGGAGTGATGACGCTGGATTCGATTGTGACGCGTTGGAGAGTTGAAGGGGAAAGCTTCTCGTTGGTGCTTTCCTCGTCATGAGGAGGCCAGAAGGGGTGGGGTGAGAGGATGAAGGGGCCGGACAGGTAGAGCTCTTTGAGGACGCTGCCTGGTGAGGATGAAAGGGTGTGGAGGGCGATGCTGAGTCCATCGACGGTCTGATTAGGTGATCGTAGGTCCCCTGGATTGAAACTGTGGTTGAGAGGTTCACGGGACTCGTAGTGGAGATGCAAGGTTCTCAGAGAGGGGAGGGGGGAGAGACGGGTGAAGGTTTGGGCCAAAGCGTTTCGGTGGTCTCGTCTCATTGCTTCTCGTTTCATTTTGGGCTCGTAGAGACGCAGGTCCAGTCTCTCTACCTGTGGGATGGCAGCTAGGATCTTGCCAACGGCATCAAGGTGAAGATGGCGACAACCACTTCCTTCGAGTTCGAATGATGTGATTCTTGGTACAACGGGCAGTGACTTGGAATCGTCTGGGAATTCGAGAAAATGTCCCTCTGTCCTCTCGTCTTCGAGACCAGGATCGGCTTCGTAAGACCTGGATCCCATGTCCATGGGCGAATAGGCTTTCAATCTCAGCCTTGATGGTCCACGACTCTCCTCCCAGCCTTTCAGCACCTCAAATAGTCCCCTGACTCCTCGCTCGAACACTCAATCATTTTCCTCCTTCTCCTTTGTCGTCTCAAACCTGGCGCACCTACCTTCACTGTAGGTGGACAGAAGAACATCATATTCGATGCTCTTCAAATACCCTCTTCGGCGCACATTAGAGAAGATCTCCGAGAATTGATCAAGCTCGTCACTCGATAGATTGATAGTACTGAAAGTGTGAGCTTCGACGGCGAGCTGCCATTGTCGAGATATGCAAGCGTATGGGACAAAGGTTGGAGGTGGGGGAGGATCATCCCATGGCATGCGAGTGGTTGCTTCTGGTGGAGGGCTGTAAAGATACCCAACTATGATTGAGAGGATTTCTGGCGATATTCGATCCATTGTGACTACCGGGTTGGGGTTCAAAGTTCAAAGTGCGTGTTGCTGGTTCACACTGTGGGGTTCGGAAATGCTGGCTGAGCGTGTGTCTGAGCTTCGACTGTTCGCTGAATTAATGCTGAATTAATACTGAATCAATAACGATTGAGAGTCCATGTTGAGCGGCCTTAACGCCAAGATTGTGTTTTGTTACAACTTGAAGGCGTGGAAAGCTTGGAAAGGCGAGACCGTGTCTTGTCATGGCCGCTTAAACGATTGGTGAAGCGGTTCAACAGATTGCGAGGTATCCGACGATTAGATGGTGTGGGTTTGGAAGAAAATCTGAAACTGTTTACGCATACCGTACAAGTACTGTTAACCTGAGTTGCTCGTTCTCTATCCCTTGGGTCACCGAAGTAGTATCCTTCCTTGTTGGGACTAGCGTTCCCGTGATTTAGCGTCATATTCTTTCTGCAGCCTTGGCAGAAAGAACATCAAACTTACTCGTAAACACTGACACAGGGGATATCTTAGAGGTATTTAGGTATAGGCCTAACCACAACACTGTTGGTTATTGAAAACCCGAGCAATAGGTGATCGGAGATGGGCGGAGAGATTACCCAGAAGAGGTACCTACAATGCGAGATCAGAAGTCAAAATGGTTCAAGCCGAGACACATGCAGAAGGTAGAGATTTGTTGTCAGTTATGTCCCTACGAGCATATCTCGACGTCTAGGCTATAGATCAGCGCCCAATAGGGCTTCTTTCCTTGCGCAGTTGAGACAATATTTGCTTATTTCCGGTTGTCTCATCATCGGAGACATGTCCTACACGAGTCGAGTTGCCGAAGACAATGTTGAATCGTTCATTCGAAGGCACAGAGGACGATAGAGAGCTTCTTGCCAGGTTGATAGGGTGAACAGATGATGATTGGGTGAACAGATGATGATTACTGGGCTGCCACTACCTGTCGCTTTGTGTGAGTGACAATCCGGACTGCCGCGGCAGAAGGCATGAAGGACGCCATCCGAAAAGGCCAATTTGCAGACGCTGCTCTACCTCCTCGAGCAGTAGTGCCAAAAGAATGAGAGTTGAAGAAAAAGGCCACCAGATCGGGCACTGAGGTGGTGATCCTCTATCCCTAGAGCTTCTTTAACGGAAAGGCTCGATGTTCACCTTAAACTACGATCGACGGTAGCGTAAGTATCTGCTATGGATAGCTGGACAAGACATGTGGAAAGAAAGGTGGTGCTTATATCTTTTGACGCAATAGAGTATTGTAAGTCTGCAGTCGTGTGTTGAAAGCGGGAGATGTCAATCAGCTGTTGCCTGATGGGTGTATCGCAAGCCGGTGCATGTAATCCCTGGCATGCGGTGAGAAAGGCGAATGTGTCGATGGATGTGGTGAAGTCTTTGCAGAAACTTAATCTGTCATCTGCCCTCCGCTATACTATCGCATTGCACGATATCAAAACTGTTGTGCTACCGGCGCATTCAGGATGCCTGTGTTGACTTCCGGGGGAAATATCTTGTCCCATTCGCTCTGGCCAAAGACGTTGTCAGCACTCTCTTCAAAGCTTGATCTATAGAAATAAGGTAATGATGAAGATAGATGAAGTTGTATAGTGGAGCGATAAGGAATATGGTAGATATAGAGAGTAAAGAGGAGGTCCTGCGCCACGGTCGGCAAAGAGAACGAAGAAAATATGCAGGAAATAGTGGTGAGACCAGGAAGACTCGAAGCAAGAGGGACACCGCAAATTGGCACTCGTGAAAAAGAAAATATTTCCAATTCAGGAGACTTACCCAATCAATATCCACCATCATCATGTCAGAGTCCAATCCAGGCATTCCAGCAGCTTGCTGATTAAGTGGAAGACTCCTTCTACCGCTGACAGGCGATATGATTGAAGGTGATATGACTCCCGAAGGATTCTCATCAACTACCAGTCCTGGAGGTGGACGCACTGATTGTCCTAGATCTCCATTGTCTGTTCCACCACTCCACATATCTGCAAGAGGATTGTTTGCACCCATAACAGGGATACTGGGGTTTGAATAACTATTAGGAGTACTGGTAACATCGCTTCGTGGTGGGCTAGCCTGCGCTCTCTGCTCGCCAGGCAGTTTATTCGGCTCAGGTTTCTTAATTTGCGATTGTGCCATGAAAAAGGTAGAGGGCGTATCAAAGGTCCAGTTCCGGCCGTATACTGAATCAGCAGAAGAGATAGGTGAGGGCGCGTCCGCAAGGGCTTTTGTAATCTGCCCAAGGTTGGCCGCTGCGGTGGTAGCAACTGCAGTGATTGGCCTTACTGCATACGCGGAGTTGAATGGTGTTCGATGTTTGACCTGGCTCTTAGGGGCTTGCTTGCCGATTGGCTGGTTGAGACTACCTTGTCCAGTGTATATAATGTGGGGTTGTTCTGCAAGGCCGTACGATAGACGGTAGGCCAGAGGAGGACGTTGGATAGACCGGCTTGCAGCAGGTGTAGGGTCGCTGTTAAAGTCGAGAAGAGTACTCCTACCCTCCTCCTGATCCGGCTTCTGAGATGGTGCAGTACAGATCCGAGACATCATGTTGATCGGTGCTCTGATCTTTCGAAAGTCACGGTAGGCCCGGGTGCGATCTCTGAGCTCTGAAAGTATGGCCCGACCTTTTTGTTCTCTGGTCATGGAGGGATCAGTCTCGAAGACGTAATCGACGATGCGCCATATCCGATCTGCTTCCCGCCGCATCGGAAATGAGAACACCTCCACAAGGAGAAGGAAGGCGGTATGCCATTGTTGATAAGCACCGCAATACCAAGCCCAAGGTTGCAGCACCGGTTCTGTTTCCAGGCGAATTGCGTCTTCCATCTGCTGCGTTCCTGTGGAGAGTATGATCTGACGAAGTCGATCCGGTATGCCGACCCGGGAAGAGGTATGGTAACGATGTAAAACCATGATATGCATTCGGAGAAGTAGAAGGTTCATGACAATCTTTGCTTCTTTCTGCAGTGGCACATTTTCATCGATGATGGGATGATATTTGTCCTCCATGGCTTTTCGAAAAGACTCAATCTTGCCGAGCACATGAGTGAGTCCGATCTGCTTCCTTTCCAGGCGGCTTCGATCGTTCCAGATGACACGGTGCATTTCGTTGCATTCGAAGCGGATTCTGGAAAATGTCATGTCGGTCCAGCCAGTCCTCTCCTCGGGATTGCTGGAGGTCAGATCAGCATCGTTGATGTTTAAAGGAAAGTTTGTATCGAATTCATCACGTCTGATCAACGGACGCGGTCCTTGGGCCTCAGCCGTTCTGATATCCAAGAAACACAATTGACACCATAGAGTTCGACGTGTATGCGACTCTAGAGGGCCGAGATCATAAGTCTGTTGCGGGTCCCTGTGAATGCCCATACATTCGGCAAGACGGATAGCCGTTCCGACCAGCACGGAATGAGCACGAGACATCTCGTCGCGGCACATGGGTATCAAGTAAATGACCAATGCCTGCAGGGTCTCGAGCTTCGTAGTGCGAATGAAATTGGCTTTCCCTAATGCAACCTCCGTCGCCATCTGGAAGCTAGCCATGAGATCCCTCTTAGGTACGGAGAAAAGGGCTGTGATATCGTTTTCCTTCATACTGACAACGGCCGAGAACATGACCGCAAAAACAACAGCCTGTAGGGATCCCAAAGGCTCGATACCTACCGTGATGTTCGCCCAAAAGTTGTCATACTGTGTCTCAAAGCTGGGCCAATGGACCACTCGAGCAATGAAATGGACCACATCGTGATATTGTTGGACTAATCTATCCCCTGCAAGTCTTGAGGGAAGAAAGTCAATTATGGAGGTTCCACTCCCCGGATTACCAAAGAAGAAGCCGGACCCGGGGGCAATATATGTTGGACCTGGCTCAAGGAATGTCTCTTTGTCTTTCCATACCTGTTGGACATGCAGCGGCGAGAGGGGCGATATGGGTGTTACAGAACTTCTCTGATCTTCTGGTGACTGGACAGTACTCCTTGGAAGGTTCAAGGTGAAGGAAAGCTAAGATGCAGTCAGCAGCAATCCCAACAAAACAAACGTATTACACACTTCTTCCGTCATCTTGGGTCTGAAGTACCCTCCAAGTCTCTCTGTCATTCTGCAAGGATGTCAGTGCCATAGAATCTGTAGCGTGGTTCAGTTGAGCGGATACCTCATCTTGCCCATTTTGACTCCCAAGTCCAGCACGTCGTCATCAGCATCACCGTCGTATGCTGCATCAACCACGGCCAACGGCGTTGGTTCAAGGCCTTTCTCGTCCTCGGGAACCTCCGCAGTCCCATCTCCATCACTCTGCTCATGCGACAGTTCCCCTGGGAGATCAACACTGCCTTTCCTGACGTGGTGGGCAGAGGCTGAACTGGCAATGTTCTCATTGGATACCGCTTTTTCTCCGTCCAGATGAAGCCGGTGTTGCTTTTTGGCATTGGCGACCTCAGCCTCGAGACCCCTCTCCAAGACACCCATCTTCTCCTTAATCTCAGTCAACCTGAGCTGACTGGCTGAATCTAATGCTGGTGCAAGGAACACGCAGTCCCGCACAAACTTTGTACAGTTCGTGCATGGGTGCAGCTTGTCGCACTTTAATTTGCGTCGCCGACATTCGAGACATGATGTGATCATACGGTTACGACGACGAATGCGGTGAGGCGGAGACGATGAAGCAGTCAGAGGAGATGGTGCTTTAGCAGATCCCCGGGCTGCAGTGCTGAGCACAAACGTGTTTGTAGCTTGGCTGGCGAGATGCCGCGACGATTCGTTTAGGCCATGGCCTGAATCTGAAGTTGCCCGATTGAGGCTTTGGGGGCTGTCGCGCACAAGTGACATGATGCTCATGCAAAGAACGGCCTTGCACCCACAGATCCCCGGCCGTACTTGGTCTGGTTATTACGGGCGTACCGAGTGCTGCTGACATGGTCCTCAGGGAACCAAGAAGAAAGAAACTATCATCTTCTTACATTGGCAGCAATGCGTGATGTCTTCTGAAAGACAATCGTCCACCGATGGTTGCAAGCGACAGTTGGACCTCAACAGTTATGGCACTTGAACACTAACAACTGTCAGGTGCGGTTCCGAAGACTATAGGCACAGGTAAATCCTGGTCAGTGATACAGAGCAACAAAGTTAATTGTTTTGCCGCCGAGCAGATCCTGTCGTCAGCTCGTCAGCTCGTCAGCTCGCTTAATGCTCCTGACTTTGCCTTGAAACTTGACCCTTATCCGAGGGTCGCTCCGGTCCAGGCTCCAGCTGTCAGATGTCAGATGTCACGATTCGATAGGCGTTCTGCAGCCCAAAAGGGTGTAAACGTTATTCACGTACCATTTCTTGACGTAAAGGTGCCGCTACCAAGCTAGATAAGCATGAGGAATATGGGAGTTCGTGCCTCTGTAGAACACCCTCGATGGCAGGGAACAGACAGGCACGAGAAGTCAGCTATCGGCGCCTAACTAACTAGTTAGAGGGAAGCTAAGCTAGGCACAATTTTGATTAAGTAAAGATACCCGAGACTGCACCTATTGAGTCAAAGATATGATATTCGAGCCGATATCAACGCGCCATACAACCTTCGAGCAGAGCATGTACAAGTCCGATTACGTCTATTCGTGCCTTTCACCATTTCGGCGGGCAGATGGAGTGAGCCGAGGCCCTTTTGGTCCATTCGTTGGGGCCGCCTGTCTCCGCTGAGGCCATAAGTATATCTATCTATATTGCTAGGAATTCTATGCGACCAGACAACCGCTCCTCGTGTGCCTCTTCGTGACGTATAAATCTAGACCACGAAGCAGGAGCATTGCGGCAGTAGCACGCTGCGTCCTATCATCGAGGTGGGAAGTACACGTATTGACAGGCCAATTCAAGAGAGTGAGGTGTAGGCATCAAGTTAAGCACAAGGGTCAAGGATCATGGCCGGAATCCCAAGCAGCAGAGACTTGTGTACCGAAAGCCCACCGCAGTGGCAGCTCAAAACCCTCAGTGGCTCGGCATATGACTTTGCTCACCCTTCCTGCGCTTCAGACCAAGCTTCCCCTGCACGCATCGCCTTCTCCACCAACCTTTGACTCGGTCGAGCATTTTTCTCCTGCAGTATGCAAAATCTGACATGCCAGCCGTACCATCAAATTCATACTCTTCATCCTGCTTCTTCAGACCTTGCAGATGGCATGATTGGGGAGGCCGAGAGAGAGCGGCTTGGTCTTGTCTTCCTGGCACATTGATCATCGAGTGAGCTCTAGGAGACGACGGTAGAACACTCCGCAGGCTCGGCAGGTTGAAGCGTTTTCGAAGACTGCCGCGATGATTCTGGACCGCAGAGCTATCGTCAGAGAAGAAACTTTGTGTCGCTCGAAGACCTGCTGGCGCCGTTACGGCAGCTGGTGGAAATGCAAAATTCATATTCAAACTCATGCTCATTGGTGTCAGCGGAGGACCCAAGTCTGGAGCCTTGAGGTGAGGTGCCACAGCGCTCAAGCGAGTACTGTTGGGTGGCTCAACTATACTGGCATTACTGCGGTGAGATCGAATGGTCTTGACCGACAGTTTTCGTGCCATATCAACGCTTCGCTTGATCCTCTGAGCGGCAACTGCAACAACGCTCGACCGACGATTTGGTATATCTGGAGATATTGCTGGCAGATCACACTTCATGGCCTGCTGCGCCAAAGTGTTCCGCGGTATATACTCCGAATAATGGTCAGCGCCAATGGTGTCATGACTCTCGACTGTGTTTATGTTCTGCTCATCTAATGGCTCATGGATACTGATTCTATCTTGAGAAGGTACTCCTGCAGTATGAAAACTCCCGTGGCCCGAGGAACTCTCGCTTGCATAAATTCTGCCCTGACTTTGAGAGTTTCTTTTTAGCTTGAGCCTTGTCCGTGTTTTACGTCGATGGGATATTTGACTTTCTGGAGCTCGCCGACGTGTTCGTTCCGGGGGGGGAAACCGGTCATCCCAGCTATATGGACCTTCACTATCACCTGACCAAAGACTCGATCCAGAAGCGTCCAGCAAGGCCCTTGGAGATTGCTGGGTCCCCTCTGTTGACGACTTCCTTTCTCCATCAGGCTCAGGCTGGGTAGTCATCCGCTGATTAATGATGGGATCATCCGAAGATATATTCGAGCTCGAGGCAAGGGTTTTCCAGCCCAGGGATGATCTGCAAGACGAACCATGGAGAGTGAGTTTTGGCACACGCGGACTAGACTGGGCAGCAGCAAGTCTCGGTTCTCCAAGGCAGTCATGCGTGAACAGACTTCTCGAAACAAGCTTTCGTTGTCCTGAGCCCCCAGTAATCGAGACATTTGGCGAGCTGATAGTTTGTGCCCGCTGCAGAGGTCTGGGCAATCGGTCGATGATGATCTTGATCGTGCTTTCGTCCCTACTTGTGCTAACCATCGAGACCTGAGTACCATCATCTTTATGTTCAAGAGGCTCTGATATGGGTCCTGGTCGCAGACCAAGACATTCTATGTGTTGATCCAAGAGAGACTCAACTGTGGACTTCTCGCATGGAGATCCTTGTTCGTGGCGTGTGCTTCCGAGGCTTGACTCCTTGTCTCTGGTGGACTCTGCAATCATTGAGTTTCGAGGAGAAAATGCAGGTATAGAATACCTCGCAGAATAGCTCCTTTCAGAACTCTCTAGTACCCTCTTCAGCCTGCCAGCATTTGGGCTCTTATATGACCCCGAGACATCCTGATGGCTACGAGCTAGCGAGTAGTCATTTTCCTCCAGTCCAAGAATCTTACTGAATCTTCGTCGGCTTTGAGAAGACATAGGTCTTTCAGGGGTGGGGGAGATTATGGTTGGCGGATTTGACCTCATGACTGGACCAGATGATCTGGACCTCTCGGCTGCTCCCTGTGAATAGTGAAGGAACGATAGTGGAGTGAAGTCGAGCGAAGGTAACTGCCAGACATCGACCACGCATTCATCCGTACTGAGAGAAGAATCTGAATCGTCTGTCTTCCCACTTGCATCGACTAAGCCAATATTGTTAGAAGATGTGCTGTTAAGTACAGGGGAATGTACACGTGCGGCTAGACTGGTCAGGTCGCGAGAGTTGCGGCTTGCGTTCGGGAAGAATGATGTTGAGGGAGAAGCTGGCCACGTGCGGCGTGACAGCGCAGACGCTCGACGTGGCTTCGCTTCCCCGGGATGCTGGTCCAGGGCAGTGGAGAGTCGCTCGACTGTGACCTAATGGCGTCAATAATCCCACAGTAGCTCGCTAAGGCAGGTCTAAGACTTACTTCAGCCTTGTATTTATCGTCTATCAAGATGGCCTCAGTCTTCTCCTCTTCAACTTTATGAATTGTATTGTCATCACACTCGCTCTGCCTCGATTGCTCGCTCTGCCTCGATTGCTCGCTCTGCCTCGATTGCTCGCTCTCCTTCGGTTGCTCGCTCTGCTTCGAGTGTTCACCCTGTTTCGAGTGTTCACTCTGCATCGAATGTTCACTCTGCTTCAATTGTTCACTCTGCCTTTCTTGCTGGCTCTGCTTCGGTTGGCCGCTGTCCTTACGGTTGTACTGGGTGGGCATCTCACATGGGTTGAACATAGACCCTTCTGGCATATCGAATGGAATCTGCGCATGACGAGTCAGCCGTGCTGGTTCTTGTTCGGGTATTGCATGGTCTGCGCTGAACAACGGAGAAATTGATATATCCTGTCCCGGCGCCTGGCAATAATTCTCCGCAAAAGCCTCCGTGTAGTCATAGTATACAGGAGTTGTTGAACCAGTGACAGAATGCTGAATTGTGTGAAAAGACTCCACACTGCCATTAGGGATTCTTGTTGGGTTGTGTAGAGACGCTGAGACAGGAGTTGCATTCCTCGAGGGAAAGGGTGACCTTCCGACCCCCGGATATGCTCCTGGCATTGCTGGTGACGGAAATCTGCCCAAAGATGAGGCGGAATTGTTTACATCCCGATAAGCATAGGGATGCTCGCGACTAAACATTGAGGCCGGAGAGGAGCCGACAGTAGCAGCGCTTGCAGCCCGATGGTAGCCAGGAACCCCAGTGTACGCAGGCATCGATTGAGCGTCGCTGACGGCAGGCGAGACTGGCCGGTACCCAGGACGACCTCGAACTGTCACAAAGGATGAATGGGTGTAGAGCCCTGAAGTAGCTGCCGGGCTCGGCCTTCTATCATACCTATGTAGCATCCGAGGCACGCCACGACATCTTGTTCTAGGATTGGTATGATATGAAGTGAGATTCGATCGAACGGTATCATGTCGGGACAAGGCTGAGAACGAAGGCACAGGCCGAGGAAGACGACGTGAATCAAACGGTGGAATGGGCCCTCGTGCATTCGGTCTGAAAGAAGTGGCTGGAGGGTTGAGCGAACCAGAGCTGCTTCGTGTTGCGAGGCGAGAGGCTGGTCGTGGTAGTCTAGAGGGACGGGCGGAGAACTGTCCTACGTCACCAGTCTCCGTTGACGTTCTTAACATGCTCGAGACCACATCCGGCTTGATTTTGCTTGGAATTTGACCCTGGCCTTTTGCTTGTCTGCCCTTCTGGGACTGGCTGCCATTTCGGCCGACATTGGCGGAGATTTCCGTCAAAGGCATGGGAGACATATCAGAAGCATGAAGAGCCAGTTTGCGGTCCCAGACAAGCTGCCGGTCCATAGAGCACTTTGACGGTGACGAGGTGTGAAGCTGAGATGCAGATGCCAGTGTACTGTAGCCGCATGTCGACACGAGAAGGAGCGCTGGTGATCTGAACCTTTTGCCCTTGGAGGGAGGAAGGAGCACACATCGTGCAGGGAAGGTTGTGACAAGAGCAGGAACCGCGACTCACATTACATAAGATGATAGATCAATAGTGGTATCGTTGCAGACGTTGCGCTGTGGAGATAAAGTACAATCGGACAGCATGACCTTCCATCAACTTCTTCATTGTTTGCTGAAGCCGGATACTGCCAGCTTCAACCACTCATGTGGGCATAAGACCAATGCTCCGAACAGCAGGAGTGCTGGCACCACTCTTACTGCTGCGACCTGTCTTCGACCCAAACAGTGCTCCGCTGTTGGAACTTCCATTACTTGTCCGGTTGCTGGATCCCCTTTTCTTCCTCACACCACTTGCACCTGACTTGTCGCTCCATTTTCTTGCTCCATTGAAACCTCCTCTTCGACCTCGCCCCCCTCGAAAGCTGGCTGAGCCGCTTCTGGGAGCTCGGGCGTTTTGCTTTTGCGAAGCTGAACCCACACGTTTCGATGAGGCATGCGGGACGGTTTGAATCTGGGACACTACCAAGAATCAGCTAAAAGACCACTTTACGCACCAGATGATCCCTTACTCTGAGCATTGAAAGCAGCCACATCGGGAGCTAGCTGGAAGTACTGACTCGTTTCCTCGTCGGAAAACTCATGGTCGTCAGAATCTTCAAGTTCAAGTTCAACTTCCTGATCATCATCGCTAATCTCGACGACGTTTCTGTGGTTAGGGTCATCGAAGGTGTCCTCTTGTGCTCGCATCAGAGCCTCGTAGGTGTTATGGGCATCCACGATCAGCTTCAAGAATCGCGTACCATATCGCTCCACTTTGTCTACCTCAATCCCGTTGATCTCTAACATATCTTCCCTGGTCAATGGAAAATTGATTGCCATTTCCCGGAGAATACTGTCAGGGAATGGCTGGTTCCGAAGTCCCTTCTGTAGCATGATCGCACTGCTCTCCTTTTTGGCATTACCCATAAAGTCGTCTAGAACATGGCGATGGGTTGGGTTTAGTCGAGCGAGCTTTTCATCGTCTGTGATTGGTGGCCCAAGGTGCCGTTCTTTGTCCGTTGACGGAGCACCTCGATCCCGTACAGGTTCAAAACCGGGGACCTCATCCTCTCCTTCACTGGAGTCTCCGGCTAACACTTTCAGATTGGCTTTCCGAACGAGACGACGTCTTGATATGGTTTGCAGAGGAGAAGACACGAAGGTTGATGCCGGGTACTGGTCATCCTCAGCCGCTTTGACACCAGTGCCTGGCTTCTTACTTGACGACTTCTGGACATTTCGGCTCTTGGTCTTCCCTTTTGGAGAGACACGAATCTGGATGTTGACCCGCCGGCGACCTGTCGAGAAGTCGTTCGAATTCCGCCCAAGCTTGATGTACTGATTTGCGAATCCTGATTTGTTGACGCGGTTAATCTCTTCAAGGGCATCCTCGCTGAGCAATCGATGAAAGAGGCGTTCAGCAACCCCTCTTTCAAGTTCAGAACCAAGACCGTATTCATCAAGCTGATCGTGTTCAAGCTCGGCAATCTTCTTGCTCTTGCTACCACGGAATACATCCACACAATGCAACAAAGTGACGTTCTGCTTTTGTACCCGGCGCACAAGTTTGATGGCTAGTCTTGCATAGTCAGTGAAATCTTGACTTTCGAAGGTGGATTCTGAGCTGCAATTATCGCAGCCGCCGTTGCATTTCTCCCGGTCAAAGTACTCATTGAAGTATGCAAGAACCTGCACTCTTCTGCAATCGCTCCGGTTTTCGCAAAACTGGACAACCACCCGTAACATCTGCATTTGCCGCTCTTTTTGCTCCCAGCTGCCTTCGCCGTCCTTGATCATGCGCTTCAGCGACGCTGTGTCTCCATATCCATAATATAGATAGCATGCACTCCGCTTACCGTCACGCCCAGCTCGTCCAGTCTCCTGATAATATCCCTCAAGACTCTTCGGAATGGTATGATGGATGACAAATCGAACATCTGGTTTGTCGATACCCATACCAAAAGCAATAGTTGCCACGATGACGTTACATTGACCAGCCTGCCACCGCTTCTGGACTTCTTGTTTGTCCTGCACCTCCATGCCGGCGTGGTAGAATTGAGCCTTGATTCCATATTCCTTGCTCAATTGTTCCGCAATCTTTTCACAATTCTTGCGTGACAAGCAGTAGACAATACCCGATTGACCTTTATGCAACGTGTTGATTGTTTTGGCGATGTCATCCAGAGCGTCTTTCGCCTTTCCCTTGACTTTGACCTCATAGGTGAGATTAGGCCGGTTGAAGCTTTGCGTGAAGACTTCACAACCTTCCATTCCAAGGTTATGGATCACATCAACCTTGACGTTCTCTGTTGCTGTTGCTGTCAATGCGATGACCGGAACACCAGGAAATTGCCTGCGAACATCTCCTAAAGCTTTGTAATCAGGCCTGAAATCATGGCCCCATTGGCTGACGCAATGTGCTTCGTCAATAACAATACGAGCAAGCCTGTCTCGTTTATGGAGGTTGTGGAAGATGTCAGTTAGAGCCCCACTTTTATTGATCATCTCTGGGGTGATGTAGAGGATCTGAATATACTTCTCCACATCTGGTCCTTTCAAGGCTTGAAACACAAACCTACGGTGGTCGCTCGTCACCTCACTATTGATCAGACAAGCTTGAATTCCTTTGTTCCGCAAAGCGTCTACCTGATCCTGCATTAGACTCAGTAAAGGCGAAATCACAACAGTAACACCTCGAGTGCGCCCAATTTGGACGACTGCTGGAAGCTGGTAGCACAAAGATTTACCGCCTCCAGTGGGCATGAGAACGAAAGTATCCTTAGCTCCCAACGTGGCATTGATTGCTTCGAGCTGGTTATGACGAAAGCCGTGCAAGTGAAAACGATCTCTCAGAGCTGTTTTGACTGCTTTTGACCATGGGTATTGCATTTGCGGCTGTTTAGTGCTAGCTTGAGTCTCCTTAGGAGGGAGTCGCTGCCGCTGTACATTGCCATTCGTCTCTTGCAGCGCCGCCCGCGCTGTGCCTCGACGATGAGGGCTTGGATTTGAGACAGGAAATCCCTGCTCAAACTCCTCGGCAGCATCAAACAGATCTTCATCGTCGCCTTCGTGGTCAAAGTCCTCTGCAAGAGAGACTGGCATAGACGGACTTCCCATCCGCCGGCTGAAGTCGGTATCATCATTAAATTCTTCGAACGGGAATTCATCAGCCTCGGCGGCTGTCTGTCGTGGGCTGTTCGTCATAGCAAATCGATTACCCTGCCTCCCAAGTGCGCCATGCACAGACATTACTTCTTCCGAAGGAAAATGTTGCCTTGATTTCTGATATTCATGGCGCAAACCAGTGAGAGCACTTTTTCGAGCTGCAGTTGTACTCTGAACCAAAGGGCCCTTATTTCGCGATGACTGCATCGTGGTAGCAGGAGTTTGCCAGACAGATTCGGAACTCAGAGAACAATCTGGATGAGGGCTATGCTGTCTTTGTACTATTCCAGGTGTTGAACGATGCATTTGGGTTGAGGCAATCAACACCTCTTGCGGCGTCGGGCCTTGATCTGGAACTAGAGCCTTCGTTCCCTGGCATTTATGGGTGCCGTGAGACTGGAGGCGATTCCACACATCCGAAATATTAAGACAATCAGAAATGCCAAGCTCAATCGTTCTGAGATCCTGGTTCACAGTCAGGACCTCTTTCCGAAGGACAGATATTTCGTCGTCCTGTTGCTCATCAAGGTCTAAATCCATAAGGCTCAGCAACCTTTTTTTGATTTCTTCCTTCCGCGCAGATTTCATCACATGCGAGGTTTTCAGCGCCATCACATCTTCTACAGCTTTAACGATATGCTTTATGTTCTTGACTTGGTCTTCGACTTCTGCCGAAACTCCCTCGTCTTCCATCATTTGCGCGACGCGAACCTCATGAATCTTCTTCTTAGCTGATCTGAGCTGGGCTAGAAGATCGTCAACAGTCGAATGGGACATGGCAAGGAATTGTCGGATTTGGCCATTATTCATGGCCTGATTCGTAGATGGGATCTGATTTGAGCTATTGACATGGGCGGGTTCGGTTTTGAGCTTGTTGGGTGACCTTGGTGATATGAACAAGGTTGGCAAGCTATGTATTGGGGATGCAGCCTCCGTCTTGAGAGCGCGTGGACCAGGGTTGTCCGATGGATCGCTGAGTTTTGCCTGACTCGAGCTCTGTGGCCGCTCCGGTTTGACTGGGGAGCTTGAAGGAATGATGATGGCTACATCTGATTCACGTTGATGGCTCAGATTCTGAGCTGGATATGGGTAACCCTCGTCCTTGATTGCTCCTTGCCTGGTACCCTCATTTTCAGATTCTTTGATGATCTTCATAGGATGACCTTGAACAGTGTGGTTCCGCGGCAACTTCCTAGGCGAAGTTCGTCGAGAAGAAGCTAGCATAACAGCCATTTCTGCTCCAGGATCGGTCTTGCGCTGTTGTAGTGATGGCACGCCAACGGATGACCGAGACCTCCGTGTTTCTGTTCGAATGGTCGTCTCGGTTATTTCATGCTCTTCGTCCAAAGAGTGTTGGATGGAATTGTGGTTTGGGAACCGTGCCAGATTACCCTTGAGGAGGGCTGGTGATTGAGTCGTGGGATCAGGCCTTGTGCCAGACACTATATGAGCATCATGTAATCTTTTTGCCTCCACTCCGTGCTCATTTGATCCTATAGCTGGAAGTTCACTTCTCCCTCGCTTGTCAAATTTGCGTTGGGGACTTGGCGATAGGAGATCTGCTTTGTACTCATCACTGGTACGCTTTTTGCCCCTTTTCTGCAACGGCTCCACACGAGATGCGGAGTCTTCTCTCCAAAGCCTCCTTGGCTCCCCAAATGCTTCAATTGTAGCAGATGAAGAAGTATGTTCTTCCAGAATTTCGGTCAAATCTATCTCGTCAATATCAATAACAGGATCGTAGTCGTCGAAAACACTGTCTTTATATGGTGTATTTGTACTTTTGTGGTTATTTTGAGCACGTGTTCCATGATTGGAGGCTGCGGATCTACGCTCGAAAGAGTGCTTTATTGGGGAGGTCTCAACATCAACGGCAGATCGTGTCTTTGTTGGTGTGGGCAGATGCCTCGGTGTCCTTCCTTGTGCTTTCTGGGCGCTTGATAGCATTCGAGGTTGCTTTACTGTTGTAGGCGCAAGCTGAAGTCTGGCCATCTCTTCTATGGAGGCGGTCGAATTATCATTCTCGTTGCACTGACGCCCGGGTCGTTCTGTGTCCAAGGAGATCAAGGCTGTCGATGGGCAAGCTACAGGCTGCTTTGGAAGGGCGGTGCCATCTTGAACAATGTGAGGGGTAGGAATATCGTTTCGGTCATCGAGAAGGGTACAAACGTGGTGGAGAGGTGGGATAATTGGTGAACTGCGAAGGAGCCAAGTCAAATGGTCCTTGAGGTTATGTTTGGTCATTGGTGCAACACATCGCGGTGAACATGATTGTTTTAGTTGAGGCTTTGAAGAATCAAGCTATCCACCATAGCATTTCTTTCAGACCTTGGGCATCCAACGTTGGCTCCATATGGAGTTTTGGCGTGTCAAGCAGTGTCATATGCACACATATTAGTACACGAACGCGTCGTTTTCACGACCCCACGTGGAGCTTCTTGGCATTACATATATCTTGGCATTCAGACCTCTCTGTGCCAGTGTATGAGTATGAGGTATTATCACAAGTGCTGGATAGCAATAGTCGTTGATTCAATAGGCCTGGAGTTAGTCTGTGAAGACTACATTGTGTAAATACCAATCGACGAGGCCACACCTCGCCGAGGAATGAAGCTACCACCCTGATAGTCTAGACCGCCCCTAAGGTAAGCCTCTCTCAGCGGCATGGCAAAGGGGAAGAAGACGAAGACGGCAGAGAAGCAGGCTCGCACACTAGCAAAACAAAGCAAGAAGGCCGCCAAAGGAGAAAAGAAGGCTAAGCTGAAAGACGCCAATCGAGATGATGACAGCGACGCAGAAGATGTGGACATAGATGCGGTACTGGCCGCTTACGCTGAAGAACAGGCCAAGTTTCTGAAGGTAACCGAGGAGCTATGTGAGCCTCCTTCTCCTCGCTCATCAAGTACCATATTAGCTTCACCCTCTAATCGAAACGAACTCTTTCTGTTTGGAGGTGAGTACTACGATGGTACGACGGCACAGTTCTTCAATGACCTTTTTGTCTATCTGATCGACCGGGGCGAATGGCGTCAAGTGAAGAGTCCGAACAGTCCTCTGCCACGAAGTGGTCATGCTTGGTGTCGTGGAGGAAATGGAGGCGGAATCTATTTATTTGGTGGCGAATTTTCCTCGCCAAAGCAAGGCACATTTCATCATTACAACGATTTCTGGCATCTTGACCCTGCATCGAGAGAGTGGAGTAGGATCGAGAGCAAGAAGCAGGGGCCTTCAGCTCGAAGTGGACACAGAATGACATATTTCAAGAATTTCGTTGCTCTATTCGGTGGTTTTCAGGATACTTCTCAACAGACCAAGTACTTGCAGGACCTTTGGATCTATGATTGCCAGAAATACATCTGGCATGAATTGAAATTAGCTCCAGCCTCGCAAAAGCCCGATCCTCGTTCTTCTTTCTCTTTCCTTCCACATGACAAGGGTGCCGTTCTCTATGGCGGATACTCTCGTATTAAAACCACGTCGGCACCTGGAAGACAGGGTAAAGCTAGTGGTCCGCAACGTAACATCCTCAAACCAGTAATCCATCAAGATACATGGTTCCTGCGGATCGCCATATCAGACTCAGATAACGTCGTGGACACAGGCCCTTCCATACGATGGGAGAGGAGAAAGAAGCCGGCAAATCCACCTAACCCAGCTCGAGCGGGAGCGACGATGGCATATCACAAAGGCCGAGGTATCCTTTTCGGTGGTGTTCACGATGTTGAGGAAAGTGAAGAAGGCATAGAGAGTGAATTTTTTGATGCGTTATTTGCCTGGAATTCTGACCGGAACCGCTTCTTTCCCCTGACCTTGAGACGGCCGAAGACGACATCTAAAAGACAGCAAACAACATCGAACCGTGCTCGAGACAGGGGCAAGGCTGATGAAGAGGAGTTGCTCCGAAATCTTGCCGCTTTAGAGACCAGAGGTTCTATTGCAGTCACGGAAAGCATCGAGATGGAGGTCGACCGAGCTCCTCAAGATGAAGTTGCGCCGCCGAAGGAAGCAATAGTCCGCTTTGAGCTTCCGCGCCGTCGCTTCAATGCACAGTTGACGGTACAAGACGATACTTTGTTCATCTTCGGAGGCACGTTCGAAAGAGGTGATCAGGAGTTCACCTTTAATGATATGTACAGCATCGACCTTGTCAAGTTAGACGGCGTGCGAGAGGTTTTCTTCCGCGAACCAGATAACTGGGCCACAAAGATAGAGGATGAGCAAGACAGCGAAGATGAAGATGATGGCCCAAGCTCTAGTGAAGACGGAGATGATGATGACACTATGTCGATTGACGCAGCCTCGACTGCGCCCACAGAAATCTCCATGCCGTCCCGAGAGTCCATGCTCGCTATAGAGGTTGAAGAGGAGACCAGTGCAGAAGATGATCCTAGGCCATTTCCACGACCATTTGAAAATCTCCGAGAGTTCTTTGCAAGAACCTCAAACGATTGGCAGTCGCTGCTGCTATACAACATGAAAAATAGTGGCTTAGGCGTGGGGCACGACTCGTCTGTCAAGGAGCTGAGAAAGAAGGCTTTTGAGCAGGCGGAAGAACGATGGTGGGACTGCAGAGAAGAAATTCGGGCTCTCGAAGATGAGCAGGAAGAGGCAGGCATTGGCGAGGTTATCAGCATTGCCGAGCGAGGAGCAGAAAGCGGAGCAGGCCGGCGTCGTTGACTGTCCAATTTGTTACTACTTAGTCGACCGAGTCATCTCTCAGCGCGAAAAGATTCTTGAAGACCTCCTCTGTCCGGCTCCGCAATGCATCGTGGTACATCATGTTGGTAACAAAGGTCTTTGCTCCTTTGATGGTCCTGGCGGTCTCTTGCGCGAACCCGAAGTCCACGTACATGTCCTCGACATAAGTTGCACTGTACACAGGGACCTCGTTCTGCTTCAATCGGTCAACATCGTACAAATCAGGCCAGTCATCAATATTGGCCAGAGCATCTGCGACCTCCGTGAGCACTTTGAGCTCTGGGTATACAGAGAAATGATCCCGCAACACCATTTCCCCTATAAATTCCAGAGGCGCATTGGTACTAGTTTTGTGCTTAGATAAGATCCTACTGGCACTCCAATCCGATTTGCCACCTCTTTGGCAGTAGATGGACTCATGCATAATGGCATAAAGCACATGATCTTCGAAGCCACCGGTCGCTTCAATCCTGACTAGAGTCGGTTTCGTCAGAAAACCAAAAGTTTCCAAATCATTGACCGTTCTTAGAACAATATCATGGACGGTGTCTAAACCACCGTGAAACCCGAAGCTGATACCCATGGACAAGAACCGCATAAGTGAGAGTTCTCCGCCATCAGCAAACATTACTGGTTGGTCTTTATGATCCAAGTGGCGAGCGATTCTTTTCACAGCCTCCACGTCCTCGGGGTACTTCTCGTAGTACTTTGCATTTCTCTCCTGAACCTTACGATGCAATCTTTTGTATACCTCATCTGGATCTTTCTGGTTCACTGGTGGCAGACCACCTAAGGTGAAGACCTCACGCAGTCCTTCTGGTGCTTGGCTCAAATACGTGGTAGCGACGAAACCTCCATATGACTGGCCTACAATAGACCATTTTTTCTTCTCTTCTGGGTAGTCAGCTGTGAGGCATTTCCGAATTGCCTCCAAGTCCTTGACTGCCGTATCAGCTCGAAAGAGCTTCAGATAGTCTACTTGCACCTTGCTGTCGCCTTGTATGGCTAGTGTGCGGGCCGTGACTGGCGTTGAGAGACCCATCCCCCTCTGATCGAGGAAGAGCATCTGAATCTCATATTAGCCAACCAATGGCCGGCATAAGTGAGTTGTGCGGAGTCTCTCGTTTGACATAGATGCAAAATGTAGGCTCAGGCGCAGATTCTGCCCAGTGTCTTTCAATCTCCAGCATCGCAAGACAAATCTCCAAGAAAGGACACATCAAAGCCATCGATCGGATTCTCTTTTATAGTTCTACACTCTCCCCCGTTCCGACACGTAGCAGAATAAACACTCTCAAATCCCAACCCAGAAAGATAGAACAACGAACCGCAAGAGAAAAGGCCCCCACCGTAATCCTGCCGCAAGAAAACCAAACGCCCGGAGTGGGGAAGACAGTGTCGAAAAGTAAAAGCGTACCTTAAACCCCCGATCCAGCACCAAACCCGTAAAGCCATAATCCTGCGGCGGCGCACAGCCAAACCCCGGGCCGCCCTGCAGATACACAAAATACGGCAACTGCTTGGGCTTTCCGCCCTCCCCTTCTGCTGGAGGCGCAGCAGGCTTCTCTACCCGCTCGACGCTGCGGCCGAAGATGCGGAGGGTTCTACTGCTGTCGGGGAGGGAGTGGTCGAGGGGGACGTCGAAAAATAGTTCCGAGACCTTAAGGCGGCCGGGGATGACATGTGTGCGGCTGGATATGAGTTTTGCGATGGACATTCTTTGATTGGTGTCTCTTGATTGGTGTCAACAGGACAGAGAAGACTGGTTGGGTGGTTTGATTGAGGAGAGAGGGTTTGCAGTATTGGTAGGGGGTCAACGAAGCTTTGCATACATGGGATGAGAAGGTTGAGAACTCACTACGTAGGTGTAGCCGATTAGCGGGTACGACGGACGATTGGATTGTGCCTTTCTGCTTAAAGGCTCCTATTGGATGATCTACTGCGGGTTTGACAGATCATCGGCATCATCAATAATTAACAGGTAGTTACGAATAAATATGGTCAAGGTAGAGAGATTGCTTGATTGAGGACATGCGCTTAGTCATAAGTCATTGGGGAAAATGTGTCAGAATTGAGGATACAAAGAGACTCCTAATATCTACCCAACCACCTTTGACGCATACAGATCTAGATAGAGCAGGTTGCTCCCAGACGTCATGCATTTTCTGTATCAATCCTCCTTCCTGTTCTCAGGTTCCAACACCTTCCCACCAGGAAGCCAACTCCTCCACCACCACCATTGCATCCATGGCGGATATATGCACATGACTTCGACGTTGTTGCCCAACGGATCAATGATGAACGCTCCATAGTAGAGTTTTGAATATTTCGGTCGATATCCAGCCTTGCCATTGTCCGTTCCGCCCGCTTTGAGGCCAGCGGCATGGAAAGCATGTACCGCTGTGAAGTCTAGCGAGCTCATACATCAGATTGGCTTCCATTGGATCTTGATGACCCAAGCAGCGTATAAGCGAGGGAAGGTGGTCTCGTATCTCATTTCAAGTAGAGCAGCAGAAGAGCAGCAGAAGAGCAGCAGAAGAGCAGCAGAAGAGCAGCAGGAGAGCAGCAGGAGAAAACATATGTGGTGGGTACCAAAGGAATGATAAAGGAAGAATTTCTTTAGCCGCCCGACTCTTCCACCGTCATCGATTCTCAGCATATGACATAGATCAAACGTTACTAACCTTTTCCCCAGAAGGCAAAATGACAACCAATCTGCTTCCTGTCCTCAATGCTGATCTTTTCGCATCCCTTTTTGGCCCCAATCCAGAAGTCTGCAATATAGCCATTGCCCAACCCCACAAAGTTCTCAACAGGGCGCTTCATCTCTTTATAGCCCAACGGTTTCAAGGCAGCTAGATAGAAGGCAAGCACTCGATCGAATTCTGACGCCGCACAGACGATGTTAAAATGGGCTATGTTGCCCATGATATTTGATCAGTGAAGCGATGTTGGAGTACGGTGTTTGCTCAGAGAGCAGGTCTTTGTAAAAGCGCAGAGATAGAATGATATTGATGAAGGACTCGACGGCAGCAAAGAGAAGAGCGGTACGGAGTACTCGTCAAACCTTGGTTACAACAGAACTAGTAAGTTGTGAGAGTTTACCCTATAACTAAGTCAACCGGAGAAATAGCTTGCCAAAGTCCGGAAGATAGTAGTACAGTCACTACGCAAAAGTCTCCGTCCACTCAAAGTCCGGAAGATAGTAGTACAGTCACTACGCAAAAGTCTCCGTCCACTTGACAAAATCGTACCCCACCCACCTTTCCGACCACCACCACACAAATTACTACTGCAAGGCCAGGAATGATCGGATTTCTATGAAAAATAGCTCAAAATGCTCGTCAAAACCTGCAGATTCAACACACGCTAATTTCCTGATTAGGCCTCTTGATTCTAATACTTAGTATGCCAACCCTTGGCCCTTCTCAGCGTTCTGATCCTCGCTGGCATGCTATCAATTAGATTGTCAATCCACCCTTGAGGAATAGCCTCCCAGCCCTGTACAATAGCTCTGCAGAGAGCTAATATATCCTCCTCTCTCTGGCCCATGTCATTTAGCTCCGGGTGAGTACTACAAATGACTTCTTTTAGCTTTTTCCAGAGATGCTCAATTGGGTTTATATCCGGAGAATAGGGAGTTAGCTTTTTCCAGAGATGCTCAATTGGGTTCATATCCGGAGAATAGGGAGCCCAATCAAGCAGCGGAATTGAGCGCTCTTCAAAGAAATCCTTGACTTTTTTTGCTGTATGGACTCTGGCATTATCTATTTAAAAGGTACGTCCAGGTTCCCAACAGATTTCAATCTGATCTTCAAGAGCTTCAAGAATAGAATTTGCGGTATATCCTTTTTTCTTTGCTTCCTTATCTCAGTTTAGAATAATCAGATTTGACCTTCCTCCCTTCTAAATAGCACCCCATATCATGATTGAGATGTCTTTCTTTGCCTTATACAGCTGAATCATATCCTTTTTCCACTTTTCTGAGGGCGTACGAAAGACCCATTGCCGTTGGGCTCCTTTGCCTCTTTCCACAGAGCATTCATCAGAAAAGATGATGGTATTCCACTTCAACCGCCAGCTGTAATGAGCTATAGCCCACTGATATCGATTCTGCGCATTTTCAGGTTTCAGAAATAGCCTTTTCTTTGCTCTCCAGTTCTTTACGCCGGCTCGGTGGAGAATTCTGCTGATGGTATCATGGGAGAGGGATAAGTGAAGATTTTCGTTGATTTCAGCGTACGTGGCCTGTGGATTTGCTCGTACAAAGCTTAGGATATCTCGAGTATTAATAGAAGAATAAATCCTTGGGCGGCCTGATCAGGGTTGAGTGGTGCCTTCATTTCTGTAACCATTAATAGAAAGGGTGTATTGAATAGTTGATTGAGGTAAATTTAATAGCTCCGCAGTTTGACGCTGTGAGCACCCTAATTGAGCCGCCGTTTGGATTGAGCCTCGTTGATATGGAGAGAGCTCTTGATTCCGAACACGGTTACCGGTTATTTCAGCTAACGGGGCTCGAGGCATTGTGCAGGGCGTTGTTGAAGATAGAGGATTGATTGACGCGTGTTGAAAATTTGACGCGTTAAGTGGTAAATTGGACGGAAACTAATGCGTTAGTACTGTATCAGGCAATCAGAGAGCAATGCCCGTCCGCCACCTTGTGATTTTCAACTAACTACACCACTCGTATGCACGCGACAAAATCCTTCTGGTATGACCAGGATTGAGTGGTACGAGGTTCCCAGGCTCGTATTCGGGTCTCCTGGGAGACTGGGCCTTGTACACGTGTTTGCATCAAAAGGAGGTTGGGTTGATCCACGCGCACGCAGCTAGAAAGGTGTCCCAAGTGCACTCACTACGTACGGAGTACATGTTGTGGATCTGCCGGTATGCTGGTAAGAATAGGCAGCCAGGTTGTGGTAAAGTCAATAATATTGTCGAAATTGTGGTCTTACGGCGCGTGCTAAGGGTTTCTTACACTTGTGTAGTGGGTCATAACAGTCAGATGTTGCCAAGGTGATCGCTTATCGGCTGGCTGCTTTTCACGGGATATACTGGCCCGGAGGCCTCCTCTACTGCAGCTACTACTAACCAATTTGAATAAGTGGAAATAAGTGCCAACCCTAACCGCCTGAAGAATGATCCCTCGTAGAATGATGTGTAGTGGTTGACTTCCAATAGGAACAAACTCAGTTCGCTGATCGTCTATCTTTCAGCTGGACTCGGCTGTCTCAAAGAAACCTCTCGTATCATATCGAGAGCTTAGTAGTACATTGAGGCATCTGCCGATTTCAAAAACCAGGAGCCCTCTAACCCCATACATAACACATCTGAGAAGTTGAAGAAAGTGACCAGAATCATTTTGGACCATGAGGAAGCACCTTATCTGGCCAGCTGAAGAGTGCTGTCATGCAGCACATGCTTGCACCAAAACTCCATGCTAGAAACCCAAACTCGTCGACAGGATTCTGCAACTTCGTATGTCAAGGAACCCTGACGTTCCTAGCACCACATATCAAACGCGACATGAAGGCTTGTGTCAGCATGCTTGCTATGCTCAAGAAATACCACCATCGCTAACTCGAGGATGATCCAAGTTGCTGCCTCGTTCACCATTCGCCTTGTACAACATCGACATAAGATGGTCAAGCTCGTACCTCAGAGTCTTGTGCAAAATGAAGTTATGCCACAATTGTTCTTTGACTTCGCCAAAGAGGTCTTCTACCACCAAGATTTCTCCAAGTTGGCTATTCTGTTGCTGACGAATGATATGACGGGCCAAGTTCTTCAACACAAGCACTGCCATGTATGGAATGCCCGTGGGCGTGTTCTTTTCATCTTGCAGAGTCGTGACGTATGGGTGACGGACAAACTCATCATCCTGGATCATGTCGTTGAACTTGCCCGCTGCCGTATCAAGGTCCGTAGCCTTGGATGAGTTATTCACATGGAGACGTACATGTAGTCCGGCTACGCGAGCACTCGTCTCGATTGTGGTTGCATATTTTGTGCACCCAAGCCATCTGCACTGATAAGATCCTTGGGCCGTAGCATCGAATTTGCCATCGCCCATCAGCGGTATGGAAAGGTGGTCTTTCACCATATGTTTCCAAAGATCTTTTGAAGAAGAGTGCCATAAGCCGCAAGATTGAAATCCTGCAGAACTCTGCGCGGATTGCTCATTTCCACTTTGCGCGGCAACCTGCCACAGACATTGGTGCAACGGCTCTCCCTTGGTATTGACAAGGACTCTTCTTGGCCGAATACCTTTGATGATGAAGCGTGGATTTGTACCATTGATCACCTGAGCCTGCGCTGTGCTGAAAGTGACAGAGACGTTCTTTATGAAGTCTGCAGCCGGAATTGGCCCGTTACTTTGGAATCGCCCTTGGTAGGCCTGCCAGATAGCGATCTGTGTGATGTCTTCGTTTGGGGCTTCCTCGAAACAGCATCGGAGCCATTTAGTAGAGCGATCAGGCTCCAGATGTAAGAGTAACTGGTTGTAGAGCTCATCAGGAACGACAGGAATGATGGTGCTTGGGGCCATTCTTTGCCCCTCTTTGACTTTAAGTTTGACCTCTTGTGCTTGCGCGTTGTGAAGGAGAAGGCTTACCAGTCGTGGGATAATGTGGCGTAGGACAGTAGATTCGGATGTGAGCATCAAGGTCATGTTTTCTGGCAGAGCGGTATATTGGTAGAGAAGGTCAAGGGATGCAAGCATTATTTCGTCGTCAGAATCGAGCAGGAGGTACGAGGCCAACGTTCGGATAGTCGGTAAGGGGATGTTCGTCAGTCGATTTGGTCTTGGGCTTTCCATGCCTATACGGGCTATAGCACGAGCTGAAGACAAGACGACTCCTCTGTCTTCGGAGGTCAAGTTCTTTAGCAAAGACAGGTAAATAGGAGAGGTTGACTCAAGTTCCCAGAATTTGGTAATCTGCTCAGCAATGTCTAGCACATACTGGCGGTATTCAACCAGTCGTTCTTGTTGGGGAAGGTTGATTGCGATGATCAAGAAGTCGCGTAGAAGGGAGAATTTCGACAGGAAAAAAGCATTCTCTTCAAGCATAAGCATGTTACGGATGACCAAAGCTGCCTCATTCAACTTCACCAGCTTATGAGAAAATTCTGCAGGCTCGAGGAAGTCTGTGTCTGCGAGAACCGGTAGATTCTGTACTCGCTCGTACAGGCCCTCAGTGCCGAAAGAGCCGTTCAATACGTCTCCATCCTGAAGGCCTGCATCCTCCTCGTAGGAGACTGTCCATTTGATGCCATGGATGAGAGTGCTAATTTCGAGAGCCTTTTCCAGAAGTGACTCTGCAAGCTGCGGAAAGCCCTCGAACTTGTACTTGTCTCCTCGCTCGAAGGAGACCTTCACGAGATGATGCAAAGCAAATTCTTGTTCCTCGCGAATCTCTGAACGCAGACCGTAAAGACAACGTATGTAAATATTTGGACCTCTCATGACCACTGCAAAAGTCAACAGTGCCTTTTCCAAACCAGGGTTTTACCTACCACCAGGAACGTGCTTGAGGGCCTGCTGAGGTTCAAGAGCAGATTTTGGAAAAGCATTTGCTCTTGCAGCAGCTACTCTTTGACGGAAGATTTCTGCGTTATTACCTGGTGTCACCACTGGCCTCAGGGCCATTGCCATGGGCTGTCTGGGCTGATACTTGTCGAGAGTGAAATTTGTATTTCGAGGATCTATAGAGGAGCTTTGTTGATGCTGCTGAGGGGTGGGTGACGCTTGCGGCGAGTTCGTCGCTCTAGAAAACATCCTTCTTGTAGACCCTAGGTCTGGTTGAAAGAGCTGCGTGCGCTTGGGGTCTTGCCTCAGCTGCCCTGGTATGAGTGTCAGATAAGCTTTAAGACAGAGTTGAGAGAACTAGCAGATAAGAAACATGAAGAGTGTTGCAAGCGCTGGAGTGCGAGTTTTATGACGGGGAACGGGCAAGTCTCTTTCTCTTGAGGAACAGAATTGTGTGTAAAACCAAGCATGCCTTCTTCTATGGTGGCCTGGATTCTTCTTACTTGTTGGGTATCTGCCTCCGCTGCCTGCCTCTTCTGCTTCTATTGTGCTTTTTGTTCTTGGGGTTTTCTGCTCATCTTCTGCAGATTCAACTCCATCGACAAGCAATCCCGTTTCTCTAGAGCCAGGGACGTTAAAGTTGTCCAAGGTTCGCTTCCGTACGTCGCCCCCTTTCGCTGTGAGATTCTCGAGGATCTCAGGTGGTGGAGGTTCTTCCCCCCAATGATATTTGATCTCATACGCCCTAATCTCTCAGTCAGGTATAACGCTAAAGTCGGTGGGCTTCTGTAGACCAGACTGTCATGCTCACGTCAAGTATTTGTAGTATATCGTCTTCAGCTGGAAGGTCATTGCCGCTTCATGGTGGTGCCCTAGGCCAAATTCTTTCGCCAGCTGCCGCCATCGCATCCGTTCTGCTGACAGTACATCGTAGCCGCCTTCCCGAAGCACGGTCTTGTACAGTTCGAGGAGCTTGACGGGTCTGCCTGATACTTTTGGCTCGCGATCAAAAGCAGTACTGGCAGCAAATCAGCAGTTTGCGCAGTGCAACCAAGGTTTTGAAAGGAATCGCTACTCACCCTCGTGCCTCATGGAAGGTAGCCAGCTGGTCCAAGAAGGCTTCCTCCTCTGTTCTTGGTGGGGGGGCCATGGTTCTGCCAATTGGTAGCCCTCCCTGCCGCAGCTGATATGTCACGAATACAGGTTTAGCTTGCTCATACTGCCCTTGTAAGAACCCGTTAGGGCGTTGATGAACGTTTTGGGATGACTTGAATAGCCCCAAGACGTAATGCGTGTGGACAGTATTAATGTGACAAAGTTTTGGCAGCGATCAGTGCGCGTTGATTCACTTTGAACGAGTGAACTATAGGTCAAAGCGCATCGACAGTCAAGTTCAATGGGTGGCCGTCTGCCGGCCTTGGCAGTGAGGTGCGTGCTACTAACTAGCCCTAGTAATAGTTAGAGCAGTTCCTGCACAAGGGTCAAGACTGTGATTGTATCCCGTTCCTATGTTACAAGGCAGACTCCTTGGAACTTAACTGCATTATCCATTTGTATCAGGCCATCCACGACGCTGACTATTCTATTCTTAACCCCTCTACCCTTGAATGGCGGCTTTTCACTATGTAATGGAGAAAGCTAAGACAGCATTCTACAATGCTCCAGTATCTACTCATCATCTGAGCTTGTCCTTGGTTTGAAAGTTTCCTTTGGTCTCGGGTATTCGCGTTCAGTCATACGCTTTCATGTCTTCCAAGCTGTTATCGCAGCATCCTGTAATAGGACCCTCTACTTTTCCTCTGTCCAAATTTTCCTTCGCAACTGTATCTGGAGAACTGGTAAAGCCTATTCCATGGACACACATCCCTGACAAAGGACATCTATATGCGGTCTTCGAGACTGTGGCGGTGTCAGACTATAGCGGTAAAGTGGATGAGAAGAGCCAATTCAAGGTTCTTGCCGAGCCTGAAGTCTTGGTAGGTAGATGGCCACTCCAACGGTGAGAGATGTACTGCTTAATCAAACGCGTCGTCTCTCTAGGAGGATCTCGATCTCAAAGCTCTGGGTCGTGAGGCTGTGAACGCTGCACACGAGATGAAGACACTGTCACCACCATCAAAATTCCCAACAGTCACGGTCATCATCCAAGAGCCTTGCATAGCTGTTCGGTTTCCCTTGCAATATGGCCAGGTCAATCTATAGCCTCACGCTCTCAGTGGTGCTCTATGATACTGACAACGCTCCAGATTCGACGCTTTCAAATGAAGTTCAGGCTAGCATCTGACTTCTACAAGGCCTTAGCCCTATTTTCTCAAGCAGGATGTCCCTTCACGCAAGCAGGAGCACTGGCAGCACAGCCGCCCATGGTCCGTCCCTTTAGCGCTTCTTCTGTTGTTGTTCCTGTTACTAGGGTCTGTCAGTCAATGGAGACTCCGAAGTCCGCTTCTTCCACAGCCGATTCTGATGAGAGCACTTTGGTGCCCAGCCTCGATTTAACAAGGCAATCATCAAGCAGGCCGTCTACATCTTCGAGCACCAATTGGAAATCTGGGGCAGCAGTCTCCAAGGATCCTACATCGACTTATGATATCAGTAGAGGCCCGGCTTATTCGGAGAAGCCCGCAGTTTCTCAGTACTTCCCAAGATCGAGTTTATCATCAGCAATCTCAAACACTGTCCATAACCAGCACGAGAAAAGCAGCACCGCTCAGGGTGAAGCTCCAAGGAACTCCACCCTGCCATTTGCATCAGATCCGATCACAGCAGGTACTAGTACGGCACTCAGTAGCCGAAATAGCTGCTCGCAGCTAGGCCATGGATCGATAGCGTCCAGGCCCTCAACAGCGCCTACTTTGGAGTCTCAACGAATATCGCAGATGCTGCCGCCTAAGCGTGAACTGCCCTTCAAAATACCAAGAGCCACGTCGGAAGCCAGTAGGAATATCATGAGGAGTGACCAAACAAGTTCTAGTGCAAAGGCTGGCAGTTCTGACAGTGCAAATACGTCTGGTCTGGACCCAACTGCTCAACTCATGTAATGTACTGATCACGTATCATCAGGCACACCTAGACAACCTGGTGCGAAAGGTGCTACGAGAACGAGCCGAGCAACAAGAGATTCTGCTTCTGGGTCACGCTCATGCAGAAACCCTGCTGTACCTGAAAATGATTCACCGGTTCCTAGCGCCAAAGACATTCTTCGTCGCTCACAAAGGCTATCTCAAAAGCAAGCTGGCATTAATTGCACTGATACCGAGAGTACGAAGATTTCGGCACCCCTGGAGCTCACCACCAAAGACGAATTAAGGCAGGCTTCGGACACCATGGGATGTAACAAAGCCATTGCCAGAGGTAAAGGTCATGCGGAACAGCCCGAACAAGACCTGGCCGCACCTCAGTACACCAATATTGACACTCAGGATCTATTGGCTCGCGTCGACGAACGTCAACGACTACAGAGATCTAAGCGAAATGCTGCCCTAGAAAACTGTGGAAATTCGACTACGCCTCCATCCAAACGCATTGCCACCGGAGTCCGTCCGGATCTGGGGGCTATTGCGCCTCCTAGTAGCGGAGTTTTAATGCCAGTGAGTGATTTACCAAGAGCAGCGACAGGAAGTGGAAGTAGAAGTTTAGGTGACAGCAGCCTTGGAACAACTCCTGCGTTGCCTAGGGCATTGGATGTGAATACTGTCCAAGATTATGATTTTCAAGAAAATGGCGGATTACCTCTATCAGCACAAAAGCCAGCCGATGAATTACCTATGGGACCCAGCGATAGGGGTGTGCTCGGATCCTCCGAAAGACAAGCGTTGGCCGATATCTCATCAAACGTAGGGGCGCAAAGGAAAACCCACCTTGTTACCAGCGATGCTATGATGGCACTGATGAACGATCCAAACTTCGCCAAGTCGCCGGAAATTGCGCAATGGGCAGACCTACCTCAAGATGAACGAGAAGCAGCTCTCGAAACATGGATGTGTCACCAATTAGAGAGTGAGAGCTTTGCAACATTGTTGAAGACCCTGGAAGGAATGTGGCAAAGGCTTTTCTTTGGTCGATGACTTGCGTTGCTATGGGAAATCATAATCCCATTTAACACATGGCTGTTGACCGTGCTGCACTCTGATGGAGCAACACGTCGTTCTATCCTAGATAGCACTAGAAGTCTACTCAGGCCTTTAAGAGAAAAGATTTCGTTGAAGTAGAAAGGTGTACAGAGCCCTACGGGAAAACCGAGAAGAAGATACGACGGATTCTCCATACATAGTAGCGAAACCGAGGTTCGGCTCTGGTAGAAGTTCGTGCAAAAATCGCCAGCATAACTCTGGATTCCAGGGTATACAACGCTGTATTCGGCGGTGTTTGCCGCTGCTGTTGATACTTATTGCATCTTGTGGTCATGTGATCCTTACCTCTACCCTAGCTGTCTGCGGCATCCTCTTCAGTTTCTTTCACTCGTCTGATTTCTTCCCTCCTCTCTCTTGCTGCCTTCTCTGCAGGGTTCTCCCCATCATCGGCGTTGTCACTCACTTTTGCATACCAGTTGAGGTCATGACCTTTTTGCCGCCTAGCAGTCTTTGGTTCTCGCAGACACGAATATGAGACAGCGCTATTATGTACATCGAGCATCCCAGAAAGTCGACCGCGTTTTGGACCTTGGACAGAGCGGCGCCGCGCACACCGCAGGCGATGCACGCCGAGACATGAACAGCAAGCTCTGGCGGAGGCTGAATTGTACTGAACTAATGCCAAAGCGGTACAAGTCTTCTGCTTGCATGGTTTCTCCAAAAAATTGGATAGCCCTTTTTGCTGACATTCTTTGCCTCCTCAGGGCAAGTCAGCAATAGCCAAGCTTGAACGAAATGCCAGACGGTCGGGTATTGTGTCGTTATGCACCAGACAAAGTTATTGTCACATTCGAATTTGCCAGCTTCGTTCTTGATGATGATTCTGCAGCTATCGAAAACTGTTTGAAATATCTGACATGGTACTTGATAGTAGGGTGGCAGGGTTTTCTCTACAAACGAATTGACAGCAAGAGCCTACTCTATTCGCTCCATAACCTACGGGGGATGGCAGCCCAGCAATTGACCGCCGAGCCTTGTATGCCCACTCAGCGGCTTTCGGCATTCAGCGGATAGGAGCTTGGTACGCTGTCTGGCCTTCCACAGACATCATTGTGCCCAGCAAGAGTATTAGAGTGGAGTCCATGATGTGATCGTAGACAAGATCTTCCATAGCCTGCGGATCAGGGGGCGGTTCGGGAACGGTTACGACAACACAGCTGTGAACGCGGACATCTTTCAAGTTACATAGCATATAGAGATGGAGTATTTTGCCTCATTTACCGAGACATTCACGCTTCGCTTGGAGTTTGACTATGCCCGAATGATGCTGTTGTTCATAGGTCTTGAGGCGCACCGGAAGGCCTGTCCAGGCAGAGTCGTTCTTCTGCTATCCATGAGTTTGACCACAGTAGAGATCAAGACCAGTCAGTCCAGATGGGGCATCAGATGTCTGCGGCGTCTCCAGTAAAAGGGTATAATGACCAGATTGATTAGGAACAACATCAGGCAAACATGCAAATGTTTCAACGTTCCACGGGACTTTGGAGCCACTAGCGATTTGAAATTCAAAAGTAATCCTCTAGAGTAAGAATTCGGCGCAATGCTTGACATGTGGTGCGCGCGTTTGAAGAGCTAGTCGTATATCGGGCCTGAAACGGACTCTTCACTCCTAGGATGCTTGTTGATGCTTTTTCGAAGTGACAATGTAGACAGGCCATCCAATACTCTTTGAAACATGGAACACTCTCGCGCTCTTCGGAGTTGACTGTGCGTTATATGGGATCAGCGGGACTCGGACCAAGCTTTGAGATAACGTACAAGGATCAAGACGGACAGGATATGGTCGAACACGACTAACACCGTGGCTGTCGCGCAAGTAGCTGCGCCACGGCTTGATCGGAGATGGCATAATCACTGCCCTAGATGTTGAAAAGTCAATCAGTATATGTTCCCAAGATGTAAAGGCCAGTGTTGAAATATACAGGTCCAATAGTATTCATACATCCAAGAAAGGCGTTATTCGACGCTCACAGCTCGTCTAAAATAGGTTCTAAGGCGACGGCTAGCGTGGAAACTGCGAATGTGGAAAAGGTTTAATCATGCAAGGAAGGAAGACTTGGGTGGCTATTAGAGAGATCTGTCAATGCTCCTTACCTCTGGTCCAGTAGTTTGCCTGGTCTGGGTTCTGCTGGATAGTCAATCGTTCACGAAAGGATTGGGCAAAGGACTGATACAAAAATGCTTCAGCTTGCAGAACGATGTCAGGCGATTATCCAAGACGTCGACGATAATCACCAGTGTACCGAGAGACCATGTCCAGAGGACGTCCTGTGATCGGATAGCTCGCCGTATTACCACGCGACTAACTTTAACTGCCGGCACATTGAAGGCCGCAAAGCAGCCATTCCAAGTGTTGCTAGCAAGTTATGCGACAAAATACACCGAGATAAAGAGGAAAAGTGAAAAGTCGATGATGAAATGGTTCCTATGGGCCGGAGTGGTTCAAACATACTTTCCAATAATGAGAGCTGACAAGAAAATTAAAGGAAAATTTTGTCAGGGTTATGCCAAGGCTTGGCAAATGATTCCTGGACATATAGTACTCACGTGACAATTTTAACTAGCCAACTCGCTGAGCAGGCCCTGTTTACGGTGGCACAGAGTGATCAGAATTGATGAAGATGTGTGTTTGAGGAGCTATCTGTTAGAGGATGGTAGCAAACAGCGTACGG